CACGCTTTGATGGGGATATCCCGATATGCGTTTACACGACCAAACATTCGGTGTTCTCATGTGTCTCCTTGTGTTCCCCAGCTCTCGCTAGGCTTCCCTCAAGTTTCTTCCTAGTCACTCCCCTGCAGTTCCTATTGGTTTGCATTAGTCTCCTTTTGTGTTCCTTCCACACTTTATCTTCATCACCCCTCTAGTCATTAGTTGTTTATCTTTGCCCTTAGGCCCTGTCCACACGTAGCCGGGGATCTGCCAAAACGTAGATATTTTTCTACGTTTTGGCCTGTCATCCACATGAAAACGGAGTTTTTTCACACGAAAACGGATCTTTTTTTAAAAACTCCGGCCAAAGTGAAGATCTGCGTTTTCTCAGTTTTGGGTGTCTGCGTGTGGACAGACAAAACCGGAGTTTTAAGGTCCGCAACGTCACTTTCTGCGACAAAAAAATGCTGACATCACGTGTGCGACCTGTGTTTACACTAGCCGTCAGCATGGATGCCCTCAGAGCTGCGCTCGCTTTATCAATTGTCCAAGCGCTTTTTGCTTGTTTGTTTTTGCAAGCGGAATTACTGCTCCTTGCGGAAGACCACAGATGAAGGACGAGGTTAAGAATGGGGGAAGTACTGCCGCCTACGGGTCTGGCATGTCCTTAACAACGTATTTATCTGGGTAGGTGTGGACAGAGTTTTTTTTTTTTAACGAGGTGGTGTGGATGCAAGTTTTTGGAGGGGCGGATATTCGTTTTTAAAAAAAACCCGGCTACGTGTGGACTAGGCCTCAGTCTTTAGGTTTAGTTATTTAGTGTTTTATAGATTATGGTTTATCTCCCCTCTGCTTAAGTTTTTCCCCATTTAGTTTACTAATGGCACCTGTCTCCCCTCCAGACCTCACTCCTCACACCTGTCACCTGTTCCCCTGATTGCTCCCCTCTGTGTTTAAAAACCCCGTCTTGTCCCTCAGTGTTTTGTCGGTCCATTGTCTTTATCAGTGTTGTTCTGTCCTCCTCTAGAAACTCCAGGTTCTCGCTCATAAATGAGCTTTGTTTTTGTAATTCAGTTTTTTCTATATTTTAGGCTTGGCTTCCAGCCCTCTGGATATTTACTCATCATCCTAATAAAGGGACTTTTCATTTATTCAACCGCGCCTGCCCGAGTTGTCTGGGTTTCTGCATTTTAGGTCCAAACCTCCTGCTCTCAACGTGACAGCTGGTTCCACTAAACCTAGCTGCTTGAATGAAATAATGGAATACAGTGAAGTGTTAGTACTTCAGCAGGTTTTCTTGCTTTTGGGTAATGTTTTCTTAGTTGAATAACTTTAATTTTAAGTACATTTCAACATGCAAATTTAAATACATTTGCTTACTTTTACTTGAGTGAACAATTTCTTGAATACTATAATTTTCTTTTTTCCTTTATGTACACTTATCTGAACTTCTACTTAAAGTAACAACAGATATTTATTTAAACTTTAAGCTAATCCTCTAACATTGATCTCATTGGTTGTTGGGTTAGAAACTTGACCACTTTGTATATTTGACACCACTCAGCAGCCCTCTACTGACCAACAACCACACTTTATCGTTTTGTAGACTGTGTAGTGGTCTATAGAGGGCACCCTTTATCTGCTTTACGCCTGATAGTTGGCATTGTGACAGTTCCTGGAAGTAAAAGTATCTGAGTAAAGTCTTTGGAGGTGAAGCAAAGAGCTAAAACCAGAGAGAACATCGGTGTGACCTACACTAGTTTGAGGGAGCTACAAAATCACGGACTGATTGTGACCTGGCTTTGTTGCTACTGGACTTGTAAGTAAGAAAGGCTAGTTTATACTTCTCCGTATGCATCGGGACGGACGCACACAACGTCATTATCCATCCTTTTGAGGGCTCTCCAGCAGGCTCGTAAGGACGGACAGAGTCGAGCTCTGTTCAACGAGATGGGGAACACAAGCTTGTGATAGGTCAGGACACCGCTGTCATTGACAGCTCCACCACTGCGCCCTCAAAAATGTGAGAGGAGCTGAAGATATCTAGCGACAGACACGGAGAAGCTTAAAGAAAACCTCATGGAAAAAAAATCTAAATATATGAACGTATTCACCCGTGAATGAAAGAGCGAAGAGATTCGCAGCAAGTGTTTTATTCGTGGATGGAAATGACGGGAAACGTGGGTTTAGAGGTGGTGAGCGCATGAAGAGGTAGAAGAGAACGAGGGACAACTTTTTTTGTGTTAAAAAGTCTTTTAAATACAAAAAACACAATATTAAATGCACTATCTTGGACATCTCTGTCTGTGCGTGCATGTCTCTCTTGTGGATAAACTAGGCTTTAGGATGCAGCTGGGTTGTTTACGACAGTTGTAAATCCACTTTCAACCAGCAGGGTGGAGCAGCAGGACAGTGCTCTGTGTTACTTTAAAGTAACATTACTTAGTTTCCTGCGCCCTCCCTCTGAATCAGGGGTGTTCTATTGAATCTTCAGTGGCAAATTGTACCTATTAAATTGTATTTTCCCAACATATTTCAAAGTTCCCATGCCTCCACACTCAAAATATTTAGAGAAATAATTTCTCTAGGCATTTAAAGTTATTGTGGAAGAATCCAATCATGTCAACATAGTGTAGTGGAATAATGCAAGGGGAATAACATTAATTGAGCTGATGTCACAGAACAAGGATGCATCCAGAAAATGGATTGTCAGTTTCCAGTTTAAAATTGTTTAATGTTAAAACTTGAGATCATTTCTGCACAAAAACTCACTCCAACATGTGAAAATATTTACCAGACACCCACCCCTACAATTTCACTCCCTGCGCTTAAAAAACATTGTTTTTATTTTTGTCTTTTTTGGAATCCCGTACACGTTTTTCTTAATTATTTCTGTCTTCCTTCTCGTTTTTCTATACAAAATTTTCCATTTTCCCGGTTTCTTACAAAATGTTTAAAATGATTTTCATATAATTTTCTTTTATCAGTTTTTATTTTTTGTTCTTGTGAAGCACCTTGTGATTTTAATCCTGTAAACATTGTTTCTTCTTCTTTAAAACAAGTTTCTGACCTTTAGTCTGAGCTGTTTACCTCGATAGTCTTTTGTTATTTTTATGAATTTATTAGTAAATTTAGTTGAATTAAAAAACCTTGCTGCCAAAAAAAGCACTTCTAGAAAATTCTTTGACATCTCTGTTCTTCAACACTTTTATCTCCTCCATACAAATTGGCCTTCAGCTGAAGCGTCAGCAGCACATAGATGAATTACAACAGCTCTTTTATCCAGCAGCACCGTCAGGGAGTGTGAGATCACGGCCTGTGTGTGTGTGTGTGTGTGTGTGTGTGTGTGTGTGTGTGTGTGTGCATCTCAGTGAGTTAGATAAGGCTGTCTGTAATCACACCTCATTCATTAGTTACTAAACATATAGTGGACATAATCTCTTTCTTTCATGTGGAGTGGTGGTGGGAAGTGAGGAAGAGAAAATATGCAAATGACAGAGAAATCATACAGTGTATTTACAGATTTGGTGTGTGTGTGTGTGTGTTATGAGGCTTTGCAAGGCTGAGGTTGCATTGTTTCCAGGTGTGTGTATAATGCTGAGTTTCCTTATAGAACAATCAGAATAAATGTTATTTTACTACTATTCAGGTCTCTTGTGTGTGCATGCAGGCGTTCTGAGTGAGAGTGAGGACCAGAGACAGTTCATTAACTGTGTGTTTGAACAGGTGTTTGCATGGATGTGAGTGGGTGTGAATGTGGAGGCTGGGGTGGGGAAGACGTCACTCCACACTGTAATCTGAAGGGCATTAAGTCTGCTCCTCCAAAACTCACAAGTCTACATAATGTCTGCTTGCAAAATCTCTTTGGTTTGTTTCACCTTTCACCAAAATAACAAGCGAGCAACGATGAGCGTGTCAAGAAAGAGGATTCCAGAACGGCACCTTGAACAACAAATTAATGTCTTCTTACAGAAAACTCATTTAATTTAAAATGTTCACAAAACTGAAAAGAAGTTTTTATTTGAACACAAAACAGTTTTTAAATTTTAATAACAAAAACATTTGAAGCAGATCAGGATTATATTCATTAAAACTGAGCTTTGTTTAGGCTGTTAGATTTCAAATATACATCTATTTTGTTTTCCTTTATATGGATAGCGGGAATTGTCAACTGCATCAAACTGAAATGATGCGCAGAAACTTTTAGTTCACTAAGTGTTTTCTTATTTACACTCATGCCTTATTTTAAGAGGTGGCCATTACAAGATGTTTATTTCAAATTAGGGGTACGGGTAAATAATTATAGCTCAGACTTCCTGCCCTTCAAACTTTATATGTATGCTTATGTAATTCTAAAAAGCATGTGTGCAGAAAGAGCAGTGGTTTGTGGGGAGCTGTAATTTATATTCATGTATTTTTTTATTTCGTTTGAAATAGTTAACACCAAAATATCTTGCAAAGTTACAAATTTCACCATCTTTAATTTTCAAAAAAGGCAAAACCTCCCAGAACATAAAATGTAAAAATGTGGCATTTGCTATGACTAATAAAAATAGCTGCAAGAGCAACAAATAAACCACTTAAGATGTATTATACATATGCATGTGTAATTTAGGTCATATCTTGTGTCCAAGAAAATAAAATGTGTTTCAATAAGAAAAACTGGTTTGATTTGCAGCTTAATCGTTTCAGAAATCAGCAGTCTCACTTTTCACTTCAGTAGAAAAGTTGACTTTTTATGCATCATTTGCCGAATTCCAACGCTTCACTCCTCCGGTTATTTGGATGCAAGCTGCAGACCCACAAGTTCAGACTATTCAGTCTTCAGGGTCAAAGTTGAACTCTGCACCTGTGCTCACGACTAAACAACTGTACCTGCTTCAAGTGAGGAATAAATACTCCTAAAATCAGAGTGCTGCCAGCCAGCAGCGAATGTGAACTGTGATTTTTTTAATTACCTGATTAAAATGATTTTAAATGTGAAAAATCATGCACCGAAGAAAGTTAAATCACCACATGTAAACCGTTTACACGCAGTGAGACGATCACTGCTGCATCTTTATTCAACAAGTGCAACAATCAGACATCAGGGAGGACAGCTTCCATTTGCGGCCACGAAACACAGCTTGATTCCTCATCTGTAAAACATTTTACTGCAGAGCAAAAATCTGAACTGATCTTTCATTTTAGGGAGAAATCAAACAGATTTATGATGATAAAGTTTAGATTTATCCATTTAAATGCATAAAAAATGAAACATGTATCTTTTTCTTTTGCTGGGAATTTTTTATACAATTGTATAACCAAAAAAATATTCATATAAATTTTCTAAAAGGTCCAAATCTTAATATAAGGATCGCTTTTGACAAAATTCATGTTTATTATTCATCCAACATTATAAATAAGCGTCTTAGCTTTTGGATTCAGTTTAAACAACTAAACCATTTCAACATGAATTTTCTCTGGACGCTGAAGGCCTGATCTCGTTTGTATTTGAAGCAAACCCAAACTGAATGTCTCCTTGAGCAGAATAGCAGTAAATCGGGTTTATTATAACAGAGGAAAGGGGAAATCTGGACACAAACCAACGTACTTAATGCTCAGAGATGACAGAAACGTCCCTCTGCTGATGAGCGTTCACTTCGCTCTGCCTGAATGAACCGTGATTTCTGAAGAGGCTTTTGAAACGATTCCACTCGGTGTGTTAACGTGAAAACATTTTCTCCCCTCAGAGAAGCCAGAGAGGATTTGGCAGGGACCAGACACTTCAGAAGACATCTTTCTTATTCTGCTATCTGAAAAGACAAAGACAACTGAGGCATGTTGACTCTATGTGCGTATAATTCCTCCTCACAGCGAGGGCAGACCGACATCAGAGGACCTTTACGTTTCGGTCTCTGCGTGTGGAACTCTTCTCTTACTGTGCTGGTGCTTCGTAAGTCCGTACTTGAAGAACTCGTAGACTGACCAGCTAATGGCCGTGGAGGGCATTTGGTAGATGACCCTCGCCTGGACCCCTCTGAAGAAGCCCGGCAGGCCACCCAGCCTGTAGACAGTCCGGAAGGCGTGGGCCAGGCCTGAGATGTGTCTGTGGGCTCCTTTGCCTTGGCCAGAGGAGCTGAGGGCCTGGGACTCCTGGGTGTTCAGCAGCGTCTTGCACACATCCAGAGGCGTGGTGGCCGCCGCTGCGATGGCTCCAGCCAAAGCTCCAGAGAGCATGTGAGACGAGGGGTTGTACTGTCTGAGGGGGTTCAGCAGCTCCTGGAGGTACTCGTAGGTCATGAAGTGGAGCGCCTGGAAGGGCACGTTCATAGTGAGCTGGGTGGTGTAGCTGCGGTAGAACGCCGCAGGGCCTTCTTTTTGCCACACGGCGCCAACACAGTCCAAGACGCCCCGGTAAGGCGAGTTATACATCTGCATGCGTTGCTTCACAACTGGAGGGGGACGTGGGAGGGTGTGTCCAGCGTTGAAGGAGGAAAAACATGGAAAAAGACAACGGCGCATTAGTATCAGATGTAAAATAGGGCTTTAGTGAACTTGTGAGCACACATAAGCATCCAGTAGAATGCTGCAGCAGAATCTGCAGACAGCTGCATCTTTCAAACAGCTGCATGGAGGGCTCAGACCAGTGTCCTTCCACTGACATGTTTGGACAGGTGGACCTCAGACAGCTGTGGAAGTGACTAGCTGAGACTAATGGTTTGAGGCCAACATGGAAGACAGTCCCTCTAAGCATGACACCTGCAGGTTCCTACCCTTGAAACTTAAAACGATTGTTTTGAGAGGCAAGTCGGCTCAGAGCGTGAAAAGGAAATGTCCAAAAGTTGCCTCTTACCTTCAGCTGGGTTCATGATTGCATCGTGAAGCAATGTGGCCACGCAACCAGCTGCTCCTGGAATAAACACACCTCTGCATTTACCACACACGAATATGAGAAGAACAAGAAACGGCCGTGGAGAAAAAGTTACACTTGTGACAGAACCTGTCTGATCGTGTCACAGCACTAAAACACAGACCTGCAGCACAGGTAGGCCTAAGAGAACTCCTGACCATCAGCAGGTCAAAACTAAGTAAAGAGTGACACCTAGTGGACAGGACTTCTTAGACAATTTGAAACCAAAACAAAAGGGGAAAGAGCTGAAGATTTGAGGACTTACCCAACCCCCTACTTAACTGGAAAAAGAAGAAAACAGCAGAATAACAAGAAAAAAGAGCAAACTTTTTTACAGTTTTGACCCAAATAGAAAACATTTTCTAAAAACCAAAACTCCTACACACTAAATAATACTTTACAATCTTTTTCAACTGATTTAGACCATCTGGATTCTTAAATGTTGTCTGGAGTCAGGCTGACTCATTGAGCTAGACACGACTGGCACAATGCTGGTGTATACTGTATATGTGCATGTTTTGTGGTACCATTAGCCAAATGACTGTTAGCGCCTGGATGAATGGCATCAGATAGAGTCCGTTTGAGTTTCTCATAGCTGGCGAAATAGAGGGCGTGGGCGGGCCCTGCCCCGATCGCTGTTGCGTTGAGGCCTCGTAACGGTCGCCACGCTCCCTCTGTGGAAACAATACGGCGGAGAGCATCCATCACATTCCTGTAGCGAGCTGCAGGGTCGGGCTGGAGGCTCTGCATTCGGGTCTGCAGAGGGAAAAAAAACAATTTCATTTACATCAATCAAAAATGACACAAAATGTTTTTTATTTCTAATAAAGCGACGAGTAATAAATAAATTGACGGCAGTAAGAAGCAGGGGTCAAACGGGGGAAATGAGGTGTGCGATGCTGGGTGTGGTTCATGTTGGTGTACATGAACGACTGAATAGAAGGAAGTATGCTGTTACAAGCTCCAAGGTCACAAAGGGACATCAGCTTACTTCCTTTAATCCTCTTTCCCCCGTGACCTTAAACCTTCCTCTTCCCACACACACACACACACACACTCACACACACATTCTCTCTGGTAAAAAAAAGAAGAAGAAACATCCACATGTTTATATTTATTTATTTGGCAGATGCATGGGGAGAACAAGCAACTCCACACAGAAAGGCCGCAGCCGAGTTTCAAACCTGAGGCAACAGTGCTAACAACTGCGCCACCATGCAGCCCATGTGATGACCAATTAGGATGGAGCTTTACGAGCTCATTTTAGGGTCAGCCAGGTCAAAGCACCTGCATAACATCAGGCTAAAAGAAGCATAACAGCGGAGAGTCCGTGCAGTTATTACGCATTTTCTTTACTTTTGCAGAAAAAGAGGTTAGCTCAAGAGTACAGATACTATAAATATAGGAATTCCCTCTATGGAACTAGTCCTAGAGTCATTCCCCCTAGGAATGGATTAGGCCAATGAGTGCATGTGAAGAACCAGCTGTGATGTGAGCCCTTTATACCAAACTTCCAGATGTATGGACTACAATAAAACCCAGCTCTGCAAACGTGAACTGCCCTCAAAAAAAGACCGAACATGAAACCCCTTTAAACTTTGATGCTGCCAAACAAATGCACAATAAATACAGACAAGTGCAGGAACCCTAGATCTTGCATCAGTATCACTAGAAGAACCTTTGCATCGTCTTTATAGACACTGAAAACATCCCAGTTTCCATTGGCAAAACCTCCAGGTAATTTTACTGGATCTTCAAGGCGTGCAGGCATTAGGGATGTGAATCTCCACCACTGGAGCTGATTCGATTCGTATATCCATACAATATCAACAATACTAGGGATATACATAGTTAAGTTGAATTGGTTAATTGCTGTTAATGTTGTAACCAGGTTAACTAGTTTTTTCCCAGTTAACTGCTTCAAGTCCTTCTGCTGCACTGGGTGCAATATTTTTGTGCCACCAGAGGGCGCAAGAGCGTCTATATCAAATTAAAATACAGAATCGCCAGTGTAATTATTTAGTTCAAGAAATGTTTTTTTTTACGTGGCCGCCAGAATGCGCTTATAAGCATGCAATCGCAAGCAGCGCTGTGTATTTAAAGCCAGACGGTCCGCTGCGCAACAAGTTCTGAGTCTGATGGACGTTTCAGCTGTCATCCCACTCTCCCTTTACTTTTTGTTCATAAATGTAACGAGTGTGGGACTTTAGTAGTGCGTCAGAATATTAACAGAGTAGACGGAAAAAGTGTTATTTATAGAGCGATTCACTAACGATACGGCAAAACTCACAGCCGATAGGACTCAACATGATTCATCCCTGCTCACAATTCATTAACGATTTGAAAATTATTTTTGATTCAACACAATTCATGATTCGATTTCAAACTAGGAATGCACAATATATCCTCATCAATATCAGTATCAGTATCGGTCCGATATGTAAAACGGAGCCAATAACAACAATCTAAATATTTTTCCATCTTGTTTGTGTATCTGTTTCAGAGGGTGATGAGTAATTGTTTGGTCCTGTGACGAGGACGGTAATCACTTCAGAAGCGTTAATGTGTGTGACGTGTGTGTACAGAAAATTTAGAAAACTCCGCTTTGTAGAAATAAAGCAAAACATTCAAAAATGTGCTTGCATAATTTTTTGTCTATTCAAAATTTGCTGATATAAGAAGCTAAACTGTTGATATCTATATCTGCAAATATCAGTTATCGGCCATAACAGGTATAATATCGAATATCGGTATCGACCCAAAACATTAACATCGGTGCATCCCTATTTGACACGATTCAAAACAATTTGCAAGCCCACATCTGGTTTTTAGACATCATCACAATGTTTTGCCCTCTCCTCTGTGAAGGACGCATTTGATCCTAGTTTTCGGTTAATCAATAAATTCAACATGAAAGGAAAATGCACTTTACCAGTGATATGTACATATTATACATATTTTTATTGCTACAAAACTGTTGAAATAGGAGGGTTGAAATGAGGTTAGACACTCACTCTTAGAAAAATAAACCAACAAACTCAGAAAATTATTAGACTTCACCTTATAATTATTAGGAATCATTACAAAACACAGTAAACAGCCAAACATACACTCACCTAAAGGATTGTTAGGAGCACCACAGTAATACGGTGTTTGACCCCCTTTCACCTTCAGAACTGCCTTAATTCTATGTGGCGTTGATTCAACAGGGTGCTGAAAGCATCCTTTAGAAATGTTGGCTCATGTTGACAGGACAGCATCTTGCAGCTGATGGAGATGTGTGGGATGCACATCCAGGGCACGTAGCTCCTGTTCCACCACATCCCAAAGATGCTCTATCGGGTTAAGATCTGGTGACTGTGGGGGCCGTTGTAGTACAGTGAACTCATCGTCATGTTCAAGAAACCAATTAGAAATAATTCGAGCTTTATGACATGGCGCATTATCCTGCTGGAAGTAGCCATCGGAGGATGGGTATATGGTGGTCATGAAGGGATGGACATGGTCAGAAACAATGCTCAGGTAGCCCGTGGCATTTAAACCATGCCCAATTAGCACTAAGGGGCCTAAAGTGTGCCAAGAAGACATCCCCCACTAGGGATGGGTACCGAATTCAGTACTTTTTAAGGTACAGACCGAATTCCAAAGTACCGACTGAGCACCGATTCACGTCATTTGAAACGGTGCCTCGTTTCGGTACCCGTCCTTCATAACGAGAACTTGCCAAGACAGCTGCCCATGCGCAAGAGCATTATGTCGTTGCTCGCTGCGAGCCAGTTGTAAGCAGAGCAGCATGCAAAGAACGCACGCTAAAGCTTGGGTCCACTTCACTAAATGTGATGGGTAACTGGGTGATGATGAAACCAGCGACAACGATCTAAGTGAGACATCCTCATCTTAATCTGCTCCGGTGGGTAAATAAAATGTTTAAGATAACGTTAGCTTGATATGTTAGCTTCCGTTCCGCTAATGGTGTGTTTGCTTTCTCCTCGGAACTCCGAATTTCCGACTAGAAGAACATGAATGCGCTCTAAAGTTTAGCTTCACTTTACTAAATGCGACGGGTGATTGGGTGAAGATGAAACCAGTGACAACGATCTAAGTGTGAGGCATCATCGTTTTAATCTGCTCTATCAGTTAAATAAACTGTTTAAGATAACGTTAGCTTGATATGTTAGCTTCCATTGCCACCGCTGTTATCAGCTAATGGTGCGTTCGCTTTCTCCTCGGAAATTCTACCTTCCCAGTAGGAAAAATCAAATGAAAAAGGACTGCAAAAGGAATGATGATACACAGTAAATTTAGTTCACAGTAAAGATGTTTGCTTCAGTTTAATTATCAGCTTATAAAACTACAACGACGATGTTAAAATACAAACAGTTGTATGTTATTTATCGTGATATTTATCAAATACGGTTATATATTGAGAAAAATATATCTTTAATTATAAAAGATAATTAAAATAATAAACGCTCAAAAGTATCAAAAACTGGTACCGTTAAGTACCGGTATCAATTCGTAGGTACCGGGAATTAGTACCGAATCGATTCAAATGTCAAAGATGCCCATCCCTATCCTCCACACCATTACACCACCAGCCTGCACAGAGGTAACAAGACATGATGGATCCATGTTCTCATTCTGTTTACACCAAATTCTGACTCTACCATTTGAATGTCTCAATAGAAATCGAGACTCACCAAACCAGGCAACATTTTTCCAGTCATCAACAGTCCAATTTTGGTGAGCTTGTGCAAACTGTAGCCTCTTTTTCCTATTTGTAGTGGAGATGAATGGTACCTGATGGGGTCTTCTGCTGTTGTAGCCCATCCGCCTCAAGGTTGTGCGTGTTGTGGCTTCACAAATGCTTTGCTGCATTCCTCGGTTGCAATGAGTGGTTATTCCAGTCAAAGTTGCTCTTCTATCAGCTTGAATCAGTCGGCCCATTCTCCTCTGACCTCTAGCATCAACAAGGCATTTTCGCCCACAGGACTGCCGCATAGTGGAAGGTTTTCCCTTTTCACACCATTCTTTGTAAACCCAAATGGTTGTGTGTGAAAGTCTCAGTAACTGCGCAGATTGTGAAATACTCAGACCGGCCCGTCTGGCACCAACAACCACGCCACACTCAAAATTGCTTAAATCGCCTTTCTTTCCCATTCTGACATTCAGTTTGGAGTTCGGAGATTGTCTTGACCAGGACCATACCCCTAAATACATTGAAGCAACTGCCTTGTGATTGGTTGATTAGATAATTGCATGAAGGAGAAGTTGAACAGGTGTTCCTAATGATACTTTAGGCGAGTGTATTTCAAAATATTGTAATGGGGCAATTTTAAAAGCTGTTGTAGCATAAAGTTACTGTTCCTTTAAGAGAAACATGACTGCTGGAGATGCAGGGGTATGAAAGTTTCTCAGCTTTTATTGGACTTCTCTGAACCACTGTTAAGGGCAAAATGACATTCTGTCTAGAGTTTTTTAGTTCTGCACAAATATTATGACAATAAGGTACTATCTTAAATTCCAATTGATGCTCGATGCCCAACCCTAGGTAGAGTCACTTCCTGTTATCCAGTCTGAGGTGAGATGTCCAAACATCAGCAAATAATACTCCAATGTCATCTGAAACTCAGCTGTGATGTTGGTCACTGCTAGGTCCTAAAACTGGTTCACTGGAGCTTTGTTTCTCCAGAGTAAAAATGACAAGGCATTCATTCCTACTATAGACCACTGCAAATGTACTAATTAAATGAGGGATCCACACCTTTCCCAAAATTAGCAAATCTATTTTTTCAATAGTTCATACAGCTTTTCCAGCTTTGTTATTTTATACATTTTCATGTTATCTGAGAATTTGTGTTTGGAGAATTTACTGCAAATCAACTGTTATATTAATTTTCATTTATGCTGTACCCATTCACACGATTTTTTTTTCCACTTTGTACATTTAAAAATAACTGGGATTTTAGGTGTACAGTCACACCCCTAGTAGCATTTGTTCCGAATCTAAAAGAAGTCAGTTAGCTTTATCAGAATATGTGAGGTTTTATCAAGATCATGAGAACTGGTCCAGTAAAACAGCATGACTGGTGCGATCAAAAGCCTTCTGTAAACAATTAGATTAGGTTTGGGAAGCAGCTTGTAGGGCCACACTGTTTAGGGAATGCAGGAACAAATACTTTAGAATGGACAACAAGCAGTTTGTCTTGATATAGCAATGCGATTCATTCCCATTTGCCTTGCAACAATAGAGAAAGGCAATGATTGCTTGACCAGCTTTAACCCGTTGTAAAGAGACAGCTTTTTTCTAACCAGAGTCGTAACAGAAACTGAATAGTTGGTCTTGTAAATTAGCACAACTTAACTGGTCAATACATTTTATTTTTCCCTGTACTTGGCTTTTCATAGACTGAATTACCTTTTAGTTAGTTTTTTTTAACTCCTTTTGGTTGTGTTAAAAATTGTATATTCGTTTCTTATGTAGACAAAATGACAATACTTTCACAGAAAAGTGAAGCATTAAATTTTTGCTGTCTAAAAAAACTTTAATTCTGCCTTATGGTCTTGGTAAAAATTGATGCGTTGTGTTTTATGCATTAGTTTCACTTGGTACAACATGTACCACGTTTGAAAACTTATTTTGTTGGAGTTTGGCGCAGCGGGCCACCGTAGCTACGTACCTTTACGTAACGCTGAAGTTGTGACAGCAAACGGACTAAACGATGATGCAGAAGTTTGCAGTTTAATGCAAATTGACCCATTTTACGCCACTTAAAACAAAACATTTTCTAAAGCACCTTCTGGAACGAACTTAACTCACACACGACGTCTAATACAGAGCTGAGAAATAAATGAAAGCAGTAAAATGTTGCTGAGCCAACTGACCTTGTCCCTTCGGTTCTGTAGCGTGTTTATGTTAGCCGCAGAAGCTAACGAGCGATGCTAACATGCATGACGGCTAACCCACAGAACACAACAGGAACTAGACATTTAAAACATCGAATATTCGTTTAAAAACGAGTCGATCTGAGCTAGGCTACCTTTACACAGTCGATGGGGAACATGACACAGTGCTCCATGATCCCGGCCACAGCTCCAGCCAACATGTGGGTGCTAGTAGAAGCTCCCTGTGGCAGACCTTCATAGTCTGCGTCGAAGTCCCCAGTCTGTGCATCTTGAGCACAACAGGCAAAATCAACGTTCTGTAATTGTTTTTCCCCTCCAACTCGGGGTGTCAGGCTTCCCACAATACTTTCCGAAATTCCCCAGAATCTGCCCCCCAGCCATTGAACTTCTGCCCCAGCAGAGGCTCCAGCAACCACGGGATCCATGCACGTGGTCTCAGCTCTCATCCGACGCTTTCTTGCAAATCCATCTGCTTCCATGAGTAAAAATGTGATATATTGAGTCGTTTAGCTCGCGTGTACACCTTCTCGAGGATGGTTTCGGGCCTTAACTTTTACATTCCTTTGGGTTGTAGCAGTAGTTCAATCCCCTGCCCTAGCTCAGCTTCACCCACTCCGTCCCCGCCTCTTCCCAACCTAACCACAGCCCAGAAGGAGGAGGCCATGGCGGACGAATACGGAACAAGACCCGCCCCTGCTACCGTGATGCTGATTGGTTAGAAAAGCCAAGTCCTACCGCACCTATTGGCTGATGCACATGCCATAAATACCCCTTGGAAAGAGTTGCATGTATTAAATTACTAAATGAGAAAAACAAGAAAACAAACCAATTATGAAAATATATAATGAAACCATTAAACGGATAAAAGCTGATGTTTATTCTTTAAAATACTCATTAATTGCATTATTTGTGATATTGAAATAAACCCCAATCAAAACTGGATGTTCACAACATTTTAAAGCTGTTATAGTAAATCTGTAAACACGCTAGGTTTTAAAAGCAAACACTTTCACAAAACACTCACCCCTCACCTCAGATATCTTACCTGAAACAAAACCAGAAACCCACAACGCCAGACTAAATGAGATAGTGCCAAACACCAGTCGCCGTTTTCGAGGTCCAAACATCTTTTGTTGTCCGTGACTTCAAATGGTGCTTTCCTTTTTTGGATTTTGGTATTTTGTCCTAAATTTGAAGTGGCAGCAATTGGCTGTTTATCCTTCTGTCAGGCGTGCTGGTGAGCGAAACGGAGGTGAGGATCCTCATGCGGGTGAAGAAGGAGGTAGGCAGGCAGACAGGAACATTAAAACAGGGATTTTAATCAGGAACACGCAGGACAATGACACAATGAGACAACCAGACAAAATGGACTAACAGGGTTTAAATACAGGAGGAGCTGGGACCTTGGGTGATTGGGAGACGAGAGGCAGGTAGGAGCAATTAACATGGACACAGGACTGAACAGAATAGGGAGACAGGACAGGGTGTGACGGTACCCCCCCCCCCCCCCCCCACCCCCCAAGGGCGGATTCCAGACGCCCACAGGAACACAGAGCAGGGCGGGAGGAGGGGAACTGGAGGGAGGGTCGAGAGGGACCGAGGGACCGATGGAGAGGAGGCAGGGACCAGCAGAGTCCGGGGGCCTGCACCTGGGGCAGAGGAGGCGACGACGGGCTCCTGGGGGCCTGCATCTGTGGCAGAGGAGGACGCGAGGACGGGCTCTTGGGGGCCTGCGTCTATGGCAGAGGAGGAGGCGACGACGGGCTCTTGGAGGCCTGCGTCTGTGGCAGAGAAGGAGGCGACGACAGGCTCTTGGGGGCCTATGTCTGTGGCAGAGGAAGAGGCGACCACGGGCTTTTGGGGGCCCGCGCCTGGTGAGGGCAGGACTGGTGGTGACCGGAGGCAGAAACGTCGGAGGACATGTCTTTGACTTCTGGACTGGAGGCGGGGGCGACGACCTCAGGGCTGGAGGCGGCGGCGTCAGCCTCTGGGCTGGAGGTGGCATTGTCGGCCACTGGGCTGGAGGCGGCGTCGTCGGCCTCTGGGCTGGAGGCGGCGGCGTCGACGGGACTGGAGACGGCGTCGACCCCTGGACTGGAGACAGCGTCGACCACTGGACTGGAGACGGCGTCGACCACTGGACTGGAGACGGCGTCGACCCCTGGACTGGAGACAGCGTCGACCACTGGACTGGAGACGGCGTCGACAACTGGACTGGAGACGGCGTCGACCACGGGACTGGAGATGGCGTTGACTCCTGGACTGCAGGGGACGTCGACCTCAGACTAGAGGGGACGTCGACCTCTGGACTAGAGGGAACGTCGACCTTTGGACTGGAGGGAATGTTGACCTCTGAACTGGAGGGGACGTCGACCTCTGGACTGGAGGGGACGTCGACCTCTGGACACGAGGGAGCGTCAACCTCTGGACACAAGGGAGTGTCGACCTCTGGACACAAGGGAGTGTCGACCTCTGGACACGAGGGAGCGTCAACCTCTGGACACGAGGGAGCGTCGACCTCTGGACACGAGGGAGCGTCGACCTCTGAACACGAAGGAGCGTCGACCTCTGGACACGAAGGAGCGTCGACCTCTGGAGATGAAGGAGCATCGAACTCTGGATACGAAGGAGCGTCGACCTCTGGACTGGAAGAGGGTCGACTTCTGGACTGGAAAGAGCGTCAACCTCTGGACTGGAAAAAGCGTCGACCTCTGGACTGGGGAGAGCGTCGACCTCTGGACTGGGGAGAGCATCGACCTCTGGACTGGGGAGAGCATTGACCTCTGGACTGGAGAGAGCGTCGACCTCTGGACTGGAGATAGCATCAACCTCTGGACTGGAGAGAGCGTCGAACTCTGGACTGGAAAGAGCGTCGGCCTCTGGACTGGAGAGAGCGTTGACCTCAGGACTGGAAGAGGCGTCGACTTCAGGACTGGGGGCATCGACCTCCATTGACGTCTGGTCCGGAGGCGTCGACTTCTGGTCCGAGGGCGTCGATTTCTGGACTGTCGACTTCTGGACCGTCGACTTCTGGTCCGGGGGCGTCGACTTCTGGTCCGGGACCGTCGGCTTCTGGATCGTCGACTTCTGGAATGTCGGCTTCTGGACTGTCGACTTCTGGTCCGGGGGCGTCGGCTTCTGGACCGTCAGCTTCTGGATCGTCGGCTTCTGGATCGTCGATTTCTGGACCGTCGACTTCTGGTCCAGGGGCGTCGGTTTCTGGACTGTCGGCTTCTGGTCCAGGGGCGTCGGTTTCTGGACTGTCGGCTTCTGGACCGCCAGCCTCTGGACCGCCGGCTTCGGAGCCGGAACCGCCGACTTCTGGACCGAAACCGTCGACTTCTGGACCGGAACCCTCGACGTCTGGAGTGGAGGCAGTGCCGCTGCAGGAGGGGCTGCCGACTTCTGGACTGGCCGGCCTGGGGGAAGAGCTTCTAGGGTCACCGCTGGGACTGGAGCGGACTGAACTGGTGGTGCCGGAAACTGGGAGAGCAGGGAGGATAGAGTGTCCAGCTGGAGCTCCTGGAGACTGAGGCTCTGATGGAGTTGGGCCAGCTCAGCTCGGAGACCGGCGAGCTCTGCTGGGTGGACTGCGGGCTCGATCCTTTGGCCTGGAGACCAGGGAGCTGCTGACAGGACTGAAACCTTCTCCTGGTGATTCGGGGAGGATAGGGTGTCCAGCTGGGACTCCTGGAGGCTGACAAGCTGACAGATCCGACCAAGCTCCGCCTGGAGACCGGCGAACTCTGTCAGCTGGGCTGTAGGCGTGGTTCCTCCGCCTGCTGATGATGGAGGAACTGATTGGACCGGAGACGGGACTTCTGGTCTGACTGGGGGCGGGTCCAAGCTGGCGCGCCGAGCCGGGGCAGCGGCGAGCTCGCGGCTCCGTCCTGGGACAAGGGGTGACGGCGGAGCCCGGCATCCTTCCCAACGCCGTGGGCCCACTCCGGGGGAGCACACAGCCAGTCTGGTGCCCACATCGCAGGAGCGGTCCATCTGCGCCTCCCCGTCCAAGTCTCCATTTGGCTCCGGGAGGGTAGAGAGGACCGCCGAGGCTAAAGTTCAGCTGCGACATCTGCGGCGAGGCGACCCCGGAGGTGGAGAAGCCGGGCGGTGGTTGGAGGTCAGGAATTGGAGCAAGCACTCCCAGGGGAGAATCTCCCCGGTGGATCCTTTGTTGGGTTGGCTCATTCTGTCAGGCGTGCTGGTCAGTGAAACAGAGGTGAGGATCCACACGGGTGAAGAAGGAGGCAGGCAGGCAGACAGGAACATTAAAACGGATTTTAATCAGGAACACGCAGGACAATGAAACAATGAGCCAACCAGACAAAATGGACTAACAGGGTTTAAATACAGGAGGAGCTCGGACCTTGGGTGATTGGGAGACGAGAGGCAGGAAGGAGCAATTAACATGGACACAGGACTGAACAGAATAGGGAGACAGGACAGGGTGTGACACCTTCTCTGTTATTATAAATGATAAAATGATAAATGACCCGCACTTGCATAGCACCTTTCAGAGTAAGGACTCCAAAGCACTTTACACTGCAGTGTATCATTCATCCATTCATACACACATTCACACACTGGTGGGGTTGAGCTACAATCATGGACATAATTTTGGGGGGGTGACAGGGGGGACATGCCCCCCCCCCCACTTTTTCCAAAGTCAAGTTTTGACCCCTGCGCTTTCTACCATCCAAAAACAATATTACGCTATATTAAATTGACACTGGTTGAGCTCTAGGACCAAGGGGAAAACAACCATTTGTGTTGAAGCCTGTTTCCCATTAGAACATACTGCAAAGATCCCCCCCCCCCCCCCCCCCCTCCCCGTGTCCCCTCTGCTTCTAAAGTGAAAATTACGTCCGTGGCTACGATGTAGCCACAGCTGCCCTGGGGCGCACTGACAGAGGTGAGGGAGCCTAAGTTACACCTATCTAATTCCGGACCACGGGCCCCGGAAGAACAAAAAAATTAAGGCAAGTCAATGGGGCTAAAAACGCTATTTTCTAATTCCGCTTGTTATGTGCCTTGGATTTCACATATGATGTCCATGAATTTAAAAAGACGCATTTTGATATCAAGAAAGTGCTTGTTTTCAAACGGGGGAAACATTATTTTAGGTTTTGTGTGAAAATAAGTCCAGGACTTCATCATCGAACCTGCCGTAAAGGAAAACAGAGGGAAAATGGCTGTAAGTTCAGCAATCTTGAAATCCTGCATTCAGGAGGAAAGAACCACAGGGGCATTTGGTAAGAAGCAGCTACGCTAGGGGAGAGGATTCTGTGGTGATGTCATATATGCAATGTGTCAATGTCTGATTTGTAGTCATGCTAATTACGAACTTTTACAAGCTGATAAATCTCATAGTACGTGACTGGCGTGGTTGAAAACCCATCATTAGTTTTCATTTAAATTGAGGTACAATTTATGTGCAATCCAGGGCGTAAGGCAAAGCGGATTAGAAAATAGTGTTTTTAGCCCCATTGACTTGCATTCATTTTTTCGTTCTTCCGGAAACTGATGAGCCGACCGGAAAGGAAGGAGACTTAGACTCCCTATACAGGCGCAAAGCTCTCACACCAGTGGTGTTCTGTTGCTAAATATGTGAGTGCGTATTGTGTGGAGGACCCAGTGAAGTGCAGAAGTGCAGAGGTTCGGTGAGACAGACAACCGGATGGTCCAATTTTTGCTTCCGAAACGTGTTATTGGCGGAAGTTTTTTGCAAGCGAACCACTCTGTTAATTTTTTTATTAAAAAAAATTAAATCTCCACAATATATTTAAAGTTATAATATGTTAGAATGTTAAAAAAAAGTTTAAAGCTAATTTGTTTTCCAAATTTGCTACTGCAGCTTTGAAGATAAACAATGCAAGATTGGACAATAGCACCTAGGCTTATCAGAAGAATTCTTCTCAGTCTTTTAGTATCAGAACTTAAAACAAAAATCAATAAGTCAAAACTTATCTAAACATTTAAACAAAAAAGATCTACTGGATCAACATTTAAAAGCTTTTAGTAACACTTATATTTTAGCTTGTATTTACATTATTTGTGTATAGCTGTGTGGCTGCCGATGTGTCACCTTTGTGGTGGCAACAAGCTTTTCCATTTTATAGGAAATATACTAAAAAATACCTGTTTTGTTTTGTTTCTAGCAGTTATTGCTGCCATTCGTTTGATTGTAGTCGTAATCTAATCACGTTCAGTTTGTTATACAACAAACATTAAACCAGTCACCTTCTGGAACCTTCATCTACGTTCAGTCAAACTTTTGGGGCCTTTTGAAAAATGAGATTTGAGTAAAGAGATGATAAAACATATCTTGGCAACATTTGAGTTGACATGATCAGTGACCTAATGAAATGGAATAACTTCTGCTTCATAAACGGAAAAACTTGCTAGATTGCAAAATGTGGTCAATTCATATTTTTTAAAGATTAAAAATACAAGAGCCATAGTACAATTGTGTATTTCCTTTATTGCCTAAATGAGCAAACACTTTGACTATAAATGTATTTTATAACTACAAAATGCCAATTGTTTGCTATAACACCATAAGTTAATATGATGCCCAACCTCTTGACCAGTTAGACTTTGCTTAAGTAGATTTTTTCATAATAGAAACGGGTTAATTGTGTTTTGAAACGGGAGCCTTTACCATTTGATTAAATTTTCTTTCTTTATTGCCGGAGAGAGACTTTGACGGCCTCAGTGTTAAATTTCTGCCGACAAAGGGGAATGAAGTGTTAATTTCTGCTTACAAGTGCAAAACCTCCTGCCTCGATCTTCTGATCTAGTTACGGTTGATTGGCAGACGCTTCTTTAAGGAAAACCGAGCGGGCATCGTATCAGGATAATTTCTCATCCCTGAAGCTAATGCTCCTCTAATACGTCAAGGGAGAAGCATTTGAAGTCTTGCAGGAAACTCTAGATCACCATTGCACCCCAGTTACATTCTCTCTGCCAAGAGAGTGCACAATCTATACAAACCTTAGGAATTATTTTACACCGTCTAAGCAAAGCATGGTCAAAAATCCACATTAAATGGACAAGATTAGACCATAACTTGCTTACATTCTGCTGTGTTGGGTTGTTTTATGTCTTCCATTCCTGAGATCCCAGCAGACAAGCCCCATCTGGACTATGGGCCCACAACATGATCTATGGCCCTCTTATCTCATTAAGGCTTGGTAAATGAACGACCAGGCCAACGGGACACCTTTAACAGCAACACTAGGAAACCATTCAGGGTTAAGAGCTAATCTTAAAGTTCTTGAGGATGGGCCCTCATACTTTTTGATGACTTTTACCAGTGGAAATAAAAATTAAGGGTAACTTTGGAGATGTACCAGTTTTCCAGATTGTTTTAGGACAAAGTTTTATCAAAAGTTGTTTATGGGATTTATTCATTTTATCTACTGGAGAGAACGTGATAAAAACAATGACTTTTTGTTGTGCAACTTTATGAGACACTGGAAAGCTTCAGGATAATGTACCAAGGATCCACAGACCAAATCTGCCACCTTGTGGCCATTTAAAGGATGACAATGGGCTCTGATTACATTTGCTCTAAAGACAGTTTACTGGTTAACGGAGAAGAAAAATGCAAACATCACATTAAGTACGGAAGAGGATTAGGGTCACTGAAAATAAAAAAGAAAAGAAGGGAAATTCTGACTTTTTTCTCAGAAATTTTACTTAAATAATGTTGAGAAAAAAGTCAGAATTCTCTTTCTTTTCATTTTTTTCTTTCAGTGGTCCTAATCCTCTTCCGTACATTTGTTATAATGTATGTCTGAGCAAATAATTAAACTGTAAAAAAAGGTAGTACACTGTTGGATTTAAAATAGGAACTTTGTTTAAACTTAAATGTTACTAAAAACAAAAATACTACAAAAATATGTGTGAAATATCACTTTCAGTCGTTATTATTCATCTGCGGAATGCGCTTTTATTTTGGGTCAAGCGTCGTGCCAATGTAGGTACCCCGATAGAATTTGTATCTCTTGCTCGGGAGCGCGCGCCGATGTTGTGCCGAGATGTGCACCCCCTAAAGAACTGCAAACGATGAAAACTATGAGTTATGCTAATAGATTCAGAATGTGAACACGTTTGTAATCTGTGTTTCTCCTGAAAACGTTTTGTTTTTGACAAGAAATATGACTAAATAATGGTTAAATAAACAAAATACACACTTGAGGCAAATATTTTAGTGAGTATTTCTTATAACGTTTTCTGTGCATGCTTAAACTATTTTGCTATCGGTTTGAAAAAAAGCCTAAATTATAATCCTTTTAAAGAGTAATTATTATTACTTCAAATAAAACATTGTAAACAGTGATTTCTTCTACTTATCTGCCCCTAAACTAACATTTTGCAAGGAAGCACGCGGATAAAAAAAATAAAGCGGCCTTCCCACAACAGGGGATGCGTATACGCTCTTTTCGGTACAACGCCTGGAGTTTCTATCGTCTCCGCCTCGTTTGCTGACGCAGGGAATTTCGGGGGTAGTGGAGAGGGAAAAGAGGCGGGACCAGCAAAGCCTTCAAACCCCGGCCATGGCTGCAGCAGTTCGGACTGATCGAGGTCGCAGGACCTTGCGTCTGGTGTGGAGCTTTACCGGATCCAGATCCAGTCACACCGCTTTAAAATCAAGTTATGACGCGCTGGTCATCGGTGGAGGTGAGCAAGTTTATACAAAAAGTTTTACAGAAGTTTGAAAAATCCTCCTCACTTGCAGAAACCTGTTTGATGACTTGGCAGCATACATGTGCACATCTTAAAAAAAACTGAAAACGTATATTTCATGTTGCAGGACACAATGGATTGGTGTCAGTGAGTTCGTGCATTTTGTTTCTCAACATGTTCTGTACAATCTGCAGAGATTTATGGTTTTACAAGACACCGGTGTCTGTGTGCAGGCTGCATATCTGCAGAGGGGAGGGCTGAAGACAGCAGTGCTGGAGCGCAGACATGTGCTGGGAGGAGCAGCCGTTTCCGAGGAGATCATCCCTGGTATGGAACAGAGCATAAAGACGTAATCCACCAAAATAAAACCAAAATATAATGTCATCAAAATTTTGATTATCATACACTCTTTTTTTGTGCACCAATTTGTAGAAGAATTCATGAACCACTTTCTAAATATGCATGGCTTACAATACAAAATGTCTTATATTTTAATATGAAGTTTTGAGCTTTACACATTCGTTTTCTGGTATTCCTCCTACTTTTAGGTTTCTGCTTCTCCAGGTGCTCATACCTGCTCAGTTTGTTACGACCGCAGATATGCAGCGACCTTGAGCTTAAGGTATTCAGTCACTCTAAAAACTGTTAATTCTTCAATCATTTCTGCATGATTTAAAGGGAGCAGTTGAGTTTTTCCTCTTCAGTTCTTGTTTGGTTTTGAACTGCACCAGAAACATGGGCTGAAGGTGTACATGAGGAACCCCCATTCATTCACCCCCATGTTGGAGGAGGGGGTGAGAGGTGCACCACCCAGGTCCCTCACCCTCGGGCCGGATCTCGCCAGCAACCAGAAGGAGATAGGGAAATTCTCTCAGAAAGATGCACAGGTGATTGAATTGTTGCCAACCACTGCAGCGGGGATAAAAGGTATTTGACACATCAGCATTTTTATCAGTAAGGGTATTTCTAAGTGACACTAGTGATGGCACAAATGAAGCAAGGCTTTGAGGCTTCTTCCTTTTAAAAAGAACCAAGTGACTGGTGACAAACGAGGCCTTGTTTTACCTGTATCACGCAGTTTGTTTGCTCTGTCACTTAGGGGCAGCAGTAGCTCAGGAGGTAGAGAGGCTTTTCCAGTAATAGGAAGGTTGTAGAGTCAATCCCAGCTCCTGCCAGAGAATGCTGCTGTTGTGTCCTTGGGCAAGACACTTAACCCCCCCCCCCCCCCCCCCTGCCTGCTGGTGGTGGTCGGAGGGACTGATGGCACCTGTGCTCAGAAGCCTCGCCTCTGTCAGTGTGCTGCAGGGCATCACCATCAGCGTGTGAATGTGTGTGTGAAAGTGCTTTGGTGTCCTCTGACTCTGAAAGGGCTATACAAGTCCAGGTCATTAATCATTTATCACTTTTCAAAATAAAAGCTGCCCAAACTCACAGTGCTTAGTGGGTTGTTCAGTGTGGTCCATAATGTGTCAAGTTTCAAGTGGTTGTGCTTCTAGACAAAATAGCTTTATCATTATTGTTTGTAGTGCTAGAGGCATTCTTTACAGTATTTTGTCATCTTCACTTGTCATATTAATAGTGTTATTTGATGTTGGGGTCAAGAAAGCTTTGGTCTGCTCATAATTACTTACTGATGAAGAGGATTATGTTAATAAGGTGTATTGACCATCAGGCGCAATTTTAGGATCGGAGGCTAGAGGAGATGGGGGGGGGGGGGGGGGGGTTCAGTCCTCTACCATAGACATATATATTACTGGACAAATCCCACCCATTGCTTTTTTAAAGTCTATTATGAATCTTGGCCATCCTGACCGTGTCATAGGCTCAGACAATCCACAAACTGGTAAAAAGGTGGAGCTGAAAATGGGGCTGTGGGAGCAAATGATTGACACCCATGAACTCTGAACTAATGTAGCTAAGAACTGACTGAGCTATCCCTGAAGCTAACACGAAACTAGGAGCGCCTGGGCCGCTGTTCCACAGCAGTTGTAGATCAGCAGGAGATTAGCTACAAGCTAACCCAAAGCTACATGAAGCTTGGAGCCAACAGGGTTTGCTATGAACTACCTGAGCAAACCCAGAACTAATCCGGAGTTTACAGATGTTTCCGGTGCTTTCAGCAAGAAAAACGCAACCTGGCCGCAGCCAGATCTATATGTGTAGCCCCGCCCTGTGTGAAGTCTACACATTTCAATCTGGAATCTCTGCAGCAGAAACCACCAGAAAGCGACGAAGGAGGGCTATCTGGTAGAATATTTTGAGCTGATTGGAGGTTGCAAAATGTAGTGCCTAGCTGGCACTGGCTATAATATTTTGGCCTTAACCAATCACAGTAACATTTCATTTCATTTATTTATTAGATCCCCATAAGCTGCTGCTTCGTACAGCAACTGTTCTGAACAAACTTGTACACCAGGAAAACAATTCGCTCAAGCTTCATTCATTCACTCACACAGCAATTACCATGTCATCGGGTGATTTCTGTTGGTTTTGCAAGAACAATATGCGCATAAAGGGTGTTTTAAGTTCCTCTAAATTCAATAGCCGCTTTTACATGAGCGTCAACCAGCACGGCCATGTTTGCTTTGCTTAGACGGGTGCTTGATACTATCGTCAAAACTAACTCCCACCCTACAGCACAGTAATGACACACGATTGGATCAGTCTATTTTGGGCCGGAGATCGGACGGTTTGAACTGGAGTGGTACAAGATGGATTCTCCTGAGTTTGCAAAACTTCAAATCTCGCAATAGTTTATCACCGCTGCTAAAGGGAGTAACACGGTACTGAAATACTGCAAGCCTCCCTTCAGCAGCCGCGATCTCGTGGATCTTTGACCGTGGTGGACCAGCAAAGCCCAGAAGCCTCGACTAGACATGGCCAGCTTACCTAGCTCCAGTTTCCCAGACAGCAGCCCCACCAACATGTTGTATTTGAACCCATCTTTGACCAAGCAGTGTTATGTTAAATGCACAGAGGTTTCCCCCATTCAACCAACAAGTACAGCTAGTATAAATACCTTTAACAGGTGCACCTATTAAAAGTATTTATACTCATTTGAGTGCTCGAGCTCTCATTACTCAGGAGGCACACAGGAAAGACTTCATGATGGGTAAAAGCAAAGAATTCTTCCAATATCTTTGTAATCTTATCGTTGAAAATCCTTTTGATGGGAAGGGTTATAGGTGCATTTCCAGAATGCTGAATGTTCCTGTGAGCTCTGCGGGAGTCCTTACTGGAAAATGGAAAGAGCATCAGTTCACCATAAAACGGCCACAATCATGTGCTCTACGTAAGTTCCCTATCTGAGGAGTCCAAAGTATAATCAGGAGAGTTCTCCAAGAGCCAAGAACCATTTGGGCAGAACTTCAGGAAGACCTTGCACCAGCAGGTCCTGTTGCTTCAAACAAAACTATAGGCGATGCAGTGAACCGCCATGGCATCCATGCACGCTCACCATGCAAGAATCCATGGCTGAACATAAAGCATGTTGAGACTCAGTTAAAGGTGTTGAAACAGCAAGCCTGTGGATTACTGGGAGACTATAGTATGGTCAGACACCATGTTTGGAGAAGAAATGGCTCGACCCACCACCCCAAGAACACCATACCAATAGTTACGTTTGAGGGTGCAAGAATAATGGTGTAGAGCTGCATTTCGGCAAGGGGTACTGGCAGACTTCATATTATTGAGGTCAGGAGGAATGGAGAAATGTACATTCTGATAAAAAAAAAAAGCTGCTGCGATCTACCAGAAAACTGTTAATGAAGAGGGTGGACATTTCAGGAAGACCCCAGGTCACCAACAAGCCCATGCAAACAATGAAATGGTTTCAAAGAAAGAAAATCAAGCTGCTTGAATGGCCCAGTCCATCACCTGATCTAAATCCCATACAACATCTATGAAGAGAACTGAAGATCGAAGTTAATAAAAGACCCAAGGAACCTTCGGGATTTAAAGGACGTTTGTGTTGAAGAATTGGCCAGAATCTCTCCTCAGCAATGCAGACGACTGGTCTCTCCACACAAGAGGCGTCTAGAAGCTGGAATCACTTCTAAGAATTAGTCTCTTTCCAGAGTATTTCTCATATCCGATGGCACCATCTAGTGGCTGACAAGCATATCACCAGAGGTGTGGACTCGAGTCACATGACTTGGACTCGAGTCAGACTCAAGTCATTATTTTAATGACTTCTGACTTGACTTGATAAAATCTATAAAGACTTACGCCTTGACTCGGACTTGAACGCTAATGACTTGTGACTTGAATCAACTTGCATCTGTTGACTTGATGATGACTTGAGCATATTTGATATTTTAGCACAAAAACGACACAACATGGACAAAAATCATAAATCATTCTTAGTTCTGGGTTTGACCTTGTTCTGCTAAATGCAGCAGCACTTTGTTTATAATCAATCTCAGTTGCACTTTCTGCTTGTTTGTGCAAATAAATTCAGCTTTAAGAAGCTTTATTTCTGGAATTTATTTATTATCATTGTCATTAAATTGAAGTTGGACAAAATTACTTGAATATGACTTGAAAATTCAAAGTTAAGGACTTGGACTTGACTTGGACTTCCACATCATTGACTTTAGACTCGACTCGGACTTGGTTGTCTTTGACTTGACTCGAGACTTGACTGGAAAGACTTGTGACTTACTTGTGACTTGCAAGGCAGTGACTTGGTCACACCTCTGCATATCACACAAATAATTTCTTCTTCAGCTTTTTTGAGATGGCGACTTCACGTTTGTTGTTTATTTATGTCCTTCTGTAGCTGACAAACAGAGCTAAAACACGCTGTTTTGCAAGTATCGTTCTCATGTCATGTTGTGTTCTCATATATTTATATTTTAAAGACTTACTTGTCCGTGAAAAGTTCATCAACTCTACATCAGCGGAGGTATTCCTTAAAAGCACATAAGCGTAGTCTAACGCTATTGGTTAGTTCTGGTCGGCGCTCAGTTTGCTATTGCACGGAGCTCTGCAGGGCAGGGGGCGTGCTTAGCAAAAAACCCAAAAAAAGTATTGCTTACATTATATCACAGTACATGATAAGATAATCACTTTTACAGATTTCTGAAAAGTCATACATTATTTCTGAAAGGGGAAAACTCTGGAAAGATACATTAAATAACGTGTGTTATATAATACGTATTCCCCGTGTCATTTAACTTTTTATTTATGACTCAACTTGTATACTTAAATGTTCTGATTTCTTTGTATGAATTCAATATTTGGTTTGACGTCAACATCAGGTGTAAATTTGGTGTAAATGGTCCACTTAGAAAAAGCCTTACTAATAAAAATCCAGATGTGTCAAATACTTACTCTCCCCGCAGTAAGTACAAACTGGACGTTTCCACTGTCTGTTTAGATTAGAACTTCTCACGTCTGCATGTTCTTAGGTGTATGCAGATTTTGTGGTACTACTTGAAAAGCTTGCGGGTGCTATCCACCCACTGCTGGACTCTCCACCAGTAGATGTTCCTGGTGTTCTAGCTGGATCCCTGCGGAAGAGGATGACTGCAGCTAAAACACTCATTCCTTCAATCAAATGTGGTGCGTGATTTATTTCATACTATGAAAAAAATATGTATAAATGAATAACTGAACATTCTGTTTGTGATCTTAAAGGCTTGAGCCTTGGGAAGAATATACCAGAGTTTTATGAGATTATTACGGCGCCGATAATGAAGGTTTGTTTTCGTTTGCATGAAGCATTTGTTGTGATTTCATGATTTAAAAACAACTGTTTCCTGTTCTGTGTCAAAGATTCTTGCTCGGTGGTTTGAATCGGAGCCGCTCAAAGCAACGCTGGCTACAGATGGGGTTATAGGAGCCATGACTAGTCCTAGTAATCCCGGCAGTGGGTGAGACAGATTAACACAATCACAGCTAATTGAGGTAAATGACATCATTATTCCACATCGCTTTGTCTTTAAGGTACGTCCTCTTGCACCATGTGATGGGAGAGCTGGAAAAGGAGAAGGGAGCATGGGGTTATGTGGAGGGAGGAATGGGGGGTGTATCTAAGGCTATAGCTAAAGCTGCTCAATCCTACGGTGCGGATATATTCACTGAAAAGGTACCATGATGATTATGGATTCTACTGATTGTTTTTAAATCATGGATTTATGAAACATTTATTGGGTCTTGGCAGGATGTAGAACAGATCCTGGTTGGTTCTGATGGAGCTGCTAAAGGAGTGATACTGAAGGACGGCACAGAGATCCTCAGTAAAGTAGTTTTATCCAGTGCTACGCCGTACGTTACATTCAAGGGCCTCACACCGCAGGTACACTTGAGTCTGCGGCACGCTTTAGTGCTGGAAAGGACGATTAATAACGTTTTGGTTTTTTTTCTTGCAGGGTGCTCTTTCTCCAGAGTTCATCAGAGCTGTAGATCAGATAGATTACACCTCACCTGTAACAAAAATCAACGGTGAGTCTGTTAGTTTCTTGTGTAGGTCTCAGTCATTCACCCATTCACACACTAGTGGGGATGAGCTACGATGCAGCCACACCTGCCATCGGGCACACTGACAGAGACGAGGCTGCCGCGCACAGGCGCCACCACCAGCAGGCTAGGGGGGTTAAGGGTCTTGCCCAAGGACACAATGACAGCGACAAACTGAGCGGGGCTTGAACCTGCAACCTTCTGATTACGGGGCAAGCACTTAACTCCTGTGCCACCATCACCCTGAATAAAATGTAACTTTAAATAGGGGCGTTTAGCTCCGATTTTCTGTCTTGGAAAGTGAAAACTGAATCCTTTTTGGTTTTATCTCTTGGGATCACACTCATTGGTTGCCTCCTCCCCTCCCTGATTTATATTTACTCCTCACGCTGCCTAAGCAGAGCAAAACACATCTGGTGGCTTTGATCTGTTTTACCTGTTGTACTCATTGAGGCGCTACAGGTTCATCACAGCCAGGACAAACAGGCTCAAGAACAGTTTCTTCCCGAAAGCTATAATCTCATTAAAGTCTCACATGCACTGACACAACCCAACCTCAGGTCTCACTTTTCCCATCAATCTGTGCAATTTCCGATTTCTATGTGGTATTGACAATAACTGTGTTATCCTATATAGATGTAGCACAACTTTGCACTCTGTTTATTTATTGTATATTATGTGTTTGACTGCATGGAAGGAACTGCTTTTAATCTCATTGTTCTCATGTATAGTGACTATGAAAGGCATTCTATTCCATTTTCCAGTGGCGGTTGACAAGCTACCAAACTTCCTGGCAGCTCCGACTCCAGATGATAAACCAGGACCTCACCACCAATGCTCCATACATCTGAACTGTGAGAGTGTGGACGTCCTAGAGACGGCATATGAAGAGGCGAAGAATGGACGTCCCTCAACAAGGTCAAACTTTATTCCTCGTGTTAGTTTACACACAGTTTTCACACACGTGTGTAAAGTAATGTGTGTTTCTCTTATAGTTAGGGATGTGTATCATTGAAATTCTGGCGATACGATTCCTATCACGATACAGGGGAGACGATATGATATATCCCGATAGAGCTGCACAATATTAGGAAAACCTGCAATATTCGATAACAGTGATTAATATTGTGATGACGATATTACTTGCGATAAATAAAAACTTAACTCAGGAACAAAAATAATCAAAAACAAAGAAATAAAAAAAATGCCAAAAAATATCATAAAAATGAGAAGGGCAAAAGATGTGAAGAAAGGGAAAAAGAAAATGAGCAAGAAAAGGCAATCAGTGGATTCCGGAAAAGCATAAAGAGCAGAGCAAAGCTAACTCAGGTGTTTGCTAACCATCAAAATTAAGTGCCGTCCGCTTCGGAGGCAGGCATCTAACCTATGAGAACCCACCCAATTGGCCAAATGGGTGAAGAGCTCTGTTTGATTTGTTAAAAAAAATCATGCTTCCGTTTGATTGACAGAAATCATTATGTGTAGCAACCATCTGAGCTGACCATTCATTAGAATATTTATCTGATCTTTGCGATATACATATTGCGATAACGATATATTTGCGATATATTGTGCAGCCCTATATCACGATACACGATACATTCAGCCAGACAATATTAGCGATTGTTAGATTTAATTTATTGTAGGAAAATTCAATAAATAGTCCAAACTGATAAGTAACATGTTTAACATGAGGTATCTGAACCATGATGGAGGGATTTACATTTCAGTGGTGGAAACAAAACCCACTGCACGATGCTGCCAACTAGCGGGCGGCATCTGAATTGCATCTAAAGAAAAGAAAATCTTTGCATGTAAATTCTTCCAAAAATGAAACAACTTTTGAATATAGATATAAAATCGTAGAAAAAAATCACGATATATTGCCTTATCGATATTTTCTTACACTCCTACTTATAATGAATTTAGTTTATGACTATGATCTTAGCTGCCATGCTATGTATGTTTTCTCAGCACATTTTGGTGATTTTTAATCATTTTCTTCTTCAGACCTATGATAGAGGTGACCATCCCCTCTGTGTTGGACCCCACTCTAGCGCCTCCTGGCTGCCATGTAGTGTCCCTGTTCACCCAGTACACCCCCTATCACATAGAAGGCAGGAACTGGACCAACCAGGACCGAGAGAAATTTGCAGACACTGGTTAGAAACTATTGGTTTGCTACAACATGACAATACAGTTAAATAAATTTCTGGCAGATTTAGCTGAAAAATAAAACTTTGACTTATTTTCCACAGTAAATAAAAAGCTATTTAAAAACTTTAATGTGTTTTTCTTTGCAGTGTTTGACTGGGTGGAACAATACGCACCAGGGTTTAAAAAGTCCGTCGTGGGCCGAGACGTCCTGTGCCCTCCAGACCTGGAGAGGATCTTTGGACTCACTGGAGGGGTACAACCTGGATGCTGCACACGCTGTTAGAGCTATTTGAGTCTCAACATGCAGCTCAGCAGTCACATGCATCCTTTCTCAGTGATTAGTTATGTAGAAAAAGCAGTTAATGGTTGCAGACAGTTTTATTCAAACGTGTAAATCAGAATCAAAGTTCACAAAAGCTCATTCCTAACTAAACTCCCTGTGCATGTGTGTTTTTGGGTGTGAAGTCATCAGCTATGAAACCAACGACTCAATATTATTTAAAGTGGGAAACAAAGAAAAGTAAAGATCTTTGGTCTTGTTTTCACAGAATATTTTCCACGGATCGATGTCCCTGGACCAGCTCTTCCTAGCACGACCTTTGCCCTCCTTCTCAGACTATCGCTCACCAATTAAAGGGCTCTATCTGTGTGGGAGTGGCTGCCATCCAGGTTTGTTCTTAATGTTCAGCTAGATATTCAGTCACAAATGCTGCACTTACTTTTGAATATGGTAATTATTATACAGGAACTCACCTTTGGAGCTTTGAAACTTCATCGGGGATTAGAGAGAAACTACAAACTGTGTAATGACTGATTTTTTGATGGTTTTCAGGTGGCGGCGTGATGGGTTCTTGTGGCTGGAACGCAGCACTCACTGTCATATCGGATCTGAAATGAGACCACAGGGTGGGAATTTAACTGGAGAAACATGTTTTAGGTCTCGATCCAGATATAGTTCTATCATGGTTTCAGTGCAGCTTGCAAGCAAGGTTTGATAATGCAGAAAATACCAAATGATAAAGAGTCACAAGTAGAGATAAAGTCATCAGACTGATCCAGAAGAAGATCACCAGCACAAAGGTGATGCTAACACATAAGTTTTAAATTACCTGACACTAAAATGCACTCAAACATTTTAACATGGAAATGAAGCTCATTACTGGACATTTTGAGGATTTAATAAATAAAAAGCATGTTTCATTTTGTTTTATGTTTGTGTTAAAATGCATGTGTTTAATGTCCCAGCAGAAGTCTGTATGATTAATTCATTCATTCCTCTCTGAACCTGATTATATATCTTATTATTGTAGTAGAGGTGATTGATTTACATATTTTTATAAAATAAAAGAGTTTCTGATGGTTATGTTTTTTGGTCTTCCAAATGGAAATTTTTTCTTTTGATGTCACGCAACAAAATTTTTGAGAAATACAAAATTTAAACAAAATGATGACCCTTAATTTATTTCTACAATATTTAACTCAAGCTAATGATTACTGTGAGTTATTATCCTATAACAACACATTTTTAGTGTTTTAAATTTAATTATCCCCTGCGAGTTTTACTCTATTGTTGATAAAGTAAGATTTAAAAGAAAATCATGTTTTTGATCGTATAAAAAACTCAAAAGGATAAAAAACTTGTTTTAAATATGTTTGGGGAAAATATTTAAAGAGCAAGTCACCCTCTACCAAAGTCTTACTCCATTTCCACTTCCTGTTTAAAAAATGCAACAAATGCCATTGCCTGGCAGACCGAGAGGGCGGAGTCGCTAACACATACACACACTCAGTCTCACAACGACACTGTGACATCATAATGTACAAGCTAACGTCATAGTGTACCTCTTAACCAATAGCGTTGGCAGATTTAAAATCAAATGCAGTGCAGAGTTTTAACCTGATAATGGTGCAACACTGACTTACATTTTAACTAAGATGCACTAAAGTGCCAAATTATTGACTACACGTGTCTACAACATGATTATACACTCATTTAAATAGTGTGTCAGCAAAAAAAGTTGATTTGGTGGTGACTTGCTATTTAACATGAACTAAAAGCAGCATCTCATATTACGTAAAGTAATTACGTTTTCTTTCATTGGTAAAAAAAAAATCTGATGTGTTTTGGCAAGATTAAAAATGACCAAACCACATTTATTTAGTTAAAGTTTGGACTAAGTATAGACTGGCAAGCCAGACTAAATAAATTTATTATTTGCAAAGCAAGAATTTGGTCTAGTTCACTAGGCTACTTTAAGTATACAAGTCACAAAGAAACTCTGAAGGCATTTAACAAATGTAAGGTATTTCCTTTTCTCCTCTTCACTTCTCCTTTGTTTTTTTTGGGAGAATTCCTAACAACAGTGTCATGCAAGATCAAAGATACAGGCTAATTGTTTGTAGTTTTATTTTTAAATTAAATTAGGTGTGGTACTACTCTGCATTCCTGAGCTCATGTGAAACATATTTAAAATTGTGTTTTTCCATATTTTGGCCCAAAAATGTGCCATTAGTGTAAAATTATACGGATAAATATTAGAAATTTAGTTTGACACTAAGTGGATCAGTCTCCTTTTTAGGTCATATCTTTCTAGTTCCCCAACATACAGGCTGCGCCTCTGATTATCTTGATATTTATTTGCTATAATTGGTATTTTTCATTGTTTCCCAGTGTGCGTTGTTCACTTGCCGTGGGAAAAACACAAAGAAAGTATAGCTATAAAGTTTTATTGACGTTTTTCGTGCCGCGCATAGGTACCGCGTGATCAGCTGGTGGTATTGTGCTGCGCCTTTAAGACGGCGCTCAGGGTGGAGTGAACCCATCAACGCTGGACGCTCAGGAAGTGGATTAAACCACCAGAGATTCCCGCAGATTGCGATTTTCCCAATGTTTCAGCCGTGTCCACGGTGGCTCAAACCTTAGCTTAAACGCATCTCGGTGTTATTATTTAGGTGGATAATGTATGAATGGTCGCTCTCATGAAGTTCACCAGGGATATATGTAGGCTGCTGGGACTCGGAAGCGGTAAGAAACGTCCCTGTTTTTCAAAACTTCACCGAACAAACCACAACTTTGAGCCCGAACGTGAGGCGTGTGCCAGCTAAAGTTCGAAGTGAACATCTGACGTGTGATTTATTTTATAATAATAGTGAGTGGACTTCTAAGGAGGCGTGAGAATGGAGTTCATGGTCAAACAATTGGAAGTTCCCTACTATATAGTTCCACCCTTTTACTTTCTCACTGGGTTGCGCAGCGGTAGAACAAACGCCTTAAACACTCTTAAAAGATTCTTACATTATTATTAAAATCGTAAAGTGATTTAAAGCCGAGTTTATACGTTTAGGTTTAGCTAAAGTGAGCCACAGGTTGACTATAATAGAAACATGTAACGCTATGCGGTAGGTAGGTGGCTAAATCTCGTCCCAACTTTTTTGTCGCGTCTTAAATATCTCGCGATACTAAACTCTCCTTTCTGTTGTATTTACACTTATTTCGCTCATTTCGCTACATGATCATGTATTGTGTTTGCCAACAAATTTACAGATGAAATGTCATTAAAGAGGCAGCTGAGCATATTCACGCACCTCCCGCCACACTCGCACAGAAAACAGATTTAATCTCTAATCCAGATTTATTTCTTCCCTAATTGTCACATTTATCCCAGGCCAATTTAAAACAAAACGAGACGTGTTTTATTCCCATAGTTACCCTGCAATGTGAACTCCACCCAAAAATAATTTCCAGCCGTTTGCTTTATTATAGGAAGACGTGTGATTCATTGCGACTCATTAAAATGAGAAGTTATTTAAACAGTTTGATTAAATGATCTGGTTAACATTTGTGTGTATTTATTGAAAAGCAGCAGTGTGTCCTGTCCAAACTTGATGAGGGTACTCTGTTATTTTGCATTCCTGTGGAGATGGCTCACCTTTCATCTGCATGCTAAATTGGGAAGTTTTCTTCTACATAATCTGTGCCTTTATCCAGTAGTCTTGCATCCCTTTGTGTTAAATGGACAATCTTTGTCAGAAACAGCTGATATTTCCTTGGGATTTTTAAACAATTCATTTGAGACTCCCTTTAATGCTGGACTCCAGCTGCGACAAATCATAGAAGAGAAGAAATGTTCTGGAATGTGCGTGAATAGTTTTACTGGCAGAGTTTATGGTGATTTTTCTAAGTTTTTTTTTTACTATTGTTTGGAATGTGTGCTAGAGCCAGTGGAACCTGGAGAATAAAGAGCCAGAGAACAAGGAAGCCTCGAGGCTTATTCCCATACTATTCCAGAGGAAATATAGCATACATTATAGATGCATTTGACTAGCAAAACAATCCCATCTTCACAGGTCACAGCATGAGTCACAAACCAAATATGGATCTGTCATTATTTGGAAGTCTTTGCTGCACGAACACAAACATGACACCACAGTTTTATCTTTTTGTGTGCTCCTGCTTCCTTTCTTGTTTTGTCGTTTCTCTTTCTTCTTTCTACGTGTGGACTAGGCCTGAATTGAAGTTTATGAGAAGCAGCGGCGCTCGAGGCAGCTGTGCGTGCTACGTGATGGGTAAACATCTCTTAAGACCAAAATTAAACAACTTGAATCAATCTTGCTGAGCAGGCGTTTGTCCGATGTAGAGTATTTTCTAAATGAACGCAAAATATAATTTTTTTTCTCCACCCAGTGTTTTAACTTGTTTCTTTGTTATTAAGGGTTAAAGTAAAGTAGAATATGAAGGAACAATGCCACAGGGTGTGTGTCCCCTTGTCTTTGTATTTGTGCACATCTTTATAAGCAACATTTGACCTTGTGTGGCTTTTAATTTTGGTTCTACATGAGTTTGGCATTCACTTTAAAAAACGCATCCCACTCCTGCTCCTGAAAAAAAAAGCTCTGTTTTTCTGAATTACAGCAGAGGTTCAAAGAGAAACGTATAATTCTTTTTTAAGTAAAGTCAGTCACTCTGACTTTCACATGCAACCTGAACGCAAACATCTTTTACCCCATTTCCTGCACTAGCCGCTGAACGAAAATAGATATGAAAACACATAGAAGGGGCTAAACAGATTTACGCCACACTGAAAATTAGCATTCATGGACTCGCACGTCTTGGCTCGTGACAAGGAAGGCTGTTGTTGGCTTTGGCAGCTAGGAGACGGCAGTGCGCTTCTCAACTTGTAGAAGCTAAACGTTAGCATTAGCAACTCAAAAGTGGAAGAACACGGTCAGGCTTGTGTTTTTGTGAAGATAAAACATCAGCTTACATTTTTTACCCAACTAAGAAGAGGGAACGAAGGCAGCGAAGGAGTCAACTTGCTGTTGGCCAATCAGAGACGAGATGTTGGCATATCAGGAACGCCAGTGTTTTTTCTTTCTCTCCACAGAAAATGACTCGCAAGGCTTTCATTCGTACTGGAGTTCACAGGAAATTTGTTTAAAAACGATTGCTTGCCCACTTTAACAAGACGATATAAAAACTAGGCCAACTGATCCTGGAGAATCATGGTCATGTCCCAAAGATCCGATGTGGCACCTCGACAAGCAGGTGCTTGCACAAAGTCAGCAGACTAATAATCCCATCTACATAGTCTAGAGATGAGAGTATTTCATAGTCTCAATCCCAATGCAAACTCGTTTGTGTTCCTCTTAAACTGGGTAGGCCTATCAGGAACTGCTCTGGAGTGGTTCTCCTCTTATCTCTCTTGAACGCTCCTTTTCTGTGACCGTCTCCAAGTTTAGGTCCTCCACTACCTCTATTACCCACGGTGTCCCACAAGGTTCTGTGCTGGGGCTTCAGCTCTTCCTCCTCTATCTGCTTCCTCTTCAGCACATCCTGAGCTCCTTCAAAGGAATCTCCCACCATCTTTATGCAGATGACCTCCAACTATACATCTCCTTTAAGCCCCATGAGATGTCTAAGCTGCAGCTGTTACACACCTGCTTAGACTCTATCAAAGCCTGGATGGCTGGGAGCTTTCTACAGCTGACTGAAGATAAGACTGAGATCCTCATCTGTGCCCCAGACAAGCTGGTTCCCAAAGTGAGAGACTCTCTTGGTCAGCTTGCTTCTCACACCAAACCTTCTGTCAGGAATCTTGGCGTGACCTTTGACCCAGCTCTCACCCTGGATTCTCATGTCAGTTCTCTTGTTCGCTCTTCCTTCTTCCATCTCAGGAACATTACTAAGCTGAGTCCCATTCTGTCCCGCTCTGAACTTGACAGTTCTCCACACCTTCATCTCCTCACGCTTAGACTACTGTAACTCTCTTTTCACGTGTCTGAGCAGAACCTCCCTGAACCGTCTACAGGTGGTTCAGAATGCCTGTGCTCGGCTTCTGACCAAGTCCTCCAAACACACCCACATCACCCCGCTTCTCCTCCAGCTTCACTGGCTGCCAGTCAACTTCAGGGTTCATTTCAAGATCTTGGTTCTGGTCTATAGGGCCTTGCATGGACAAGCACCATCTTACATTGGTGATCTTCTTAGTCCCTACACCCCCAGCAGGTCCCTGAGGTCCAGTGATCAAAGCCTACTGGTTGAGCAGCACACCAGGCTAAAGACCAAAGGTGACAGATCAGTTGCTGCTGTGGCCCTCAGACTCTGGAACTCTCTCTCCCTGAGCCTGAGATCAGTGGACTCAGTGGTCTCCTTCAAAAAGCAGCTGAAGACTCACTTGTTCAAGCTGGTTTTGTATGATCTTCTTCACCCACTCTCTCGTTATTCTGCTCTCCCCACCTATTCCACCTTCCTCAGGATCCACCGATTTCCCTCTTTCCTATTCACTCTCTCTCTTTCTTAACATTTTTTCTTTTAAATCGCAATTGCTTATTTTTGCTCATTTTAAATATATTTTTAAACATTTTCTAAATGCTTTTTTATATTTTTACATTTTTATTTTTTGTTTTTGTTTTTGTGAAGCGCCTCGTGATTTTTATCTTGAGAGGCGCTATAGAAATGATATTTTCTTCTTAGCCAGTTAATGGTGCCCACAAGCACAGATTATGCTGTTGATTCAGAAAAGTTATTGTTTCTTTTTAGTAAAAATGATGTTAATCCAGAAAAATCAAAGCTTTTCTAGTTGGATGCTTCCATTTTGTTCCAATTGTCACAAATCAAAAACGGAACAACTCATTCGCGTTAACTGTGCTGCCCTTTTGCTGGACCCCTTTAAACACCTGATGAGCTGTTTTACTTCCTAAAAGGCCCTGCTGACCAGCAGCAAGAGGACCAGATGGACTGTGGTGCCAGAAACTCTGACCCAAATCACGATGCCACTTTGTCACAGGTAAACAAATGATGTCACCCTGACAGGGCAACACAGAGGTAGCAGTAGTGATAATATGCCCGGTTGACCCTCATTTTTTGGATTTGTTTGCTTAGGATGCATTAAATGGTGAAGAGGATTTGAGTGAAGAAGAAAAGGTTAGACAGAAAGCAGAGCGACGCAAAGCTAAGAGAAAGGTAGGAATTAAAATAGCCCCCCTTAAAAAATAAAAGGACAAAAGATAATTTTCATTATTTTGTTACATAAGATTTGTAAAATATTTTCACTAAACTTTATCTGTTTCAGCGCCGGCGAAAACGCAAGAAGCAAGAACAGGTTAAGCAGAGTGACAGCGTTGAACAGGTAATCCTAATATTCCTTCGACGTATGCACTTCTCTATCACCAAGTGGATGCAAATAGACAGGTGAAACTGGAAAAACCAGAATATGGTGCAAAAGTCCATTTATTTCAGAAGTTCAGTTTAGACTATTTAAAGGCTCAGGAATCCTTTGCAGGTGTTTTGGAATAATTAGCTGATTAAAGGGATCAGACAAGGTAGAGCCAAAGACCATTTATGATGATTATGACAAATCTTGGTTGGACGTGGGTCACCAGGAACCGTTGGCGAGCGCCTGGTGGCCCAGCTTTCACCCATGGAGCCCGGCCGGGCACAGCGTGACGAGGAGATATGGTTCCCCCCATCATATGGGTTTCCCACTGGTGGGACCAGCCAAAGGGGTCAGGTGCAATATTAGATGGGTGGTAGCTGAAGGTGGAGACATTGATGGTCTGACCCATGGCTACAGAAGTTGGCTCTAGGTACATGAAACGTCATCTCTCTGGTGGGGTTAGAGTCTGAGTTGGTGTGTGAGGTAGTCCGACTCTCTTTGATGTATGTCTCTGACTCTGGAACCAATTTCCCTGACAGGAGTTGGAGGCACTACCGCTCTGGAGTTGCCCCCACTGAGAGGTGCTGAGCAGGGGTGGGCATACTTGTTGCCTCCCACCAACCAACGATGCCCATACTTTGGGGTTTACCCCAGCGACCAAGAGGGTAGTCTCTCTCTGCCTACATGTGGGGGCATGGGTTCTGACTGTGGTTTGTGCTTATGCATCAAACTGCAGGTCAGACTATCCACCCTTTTTGTAGTCCTTGGAGGGGATGCTGGAGAGCGCTCTTTTCGATGACTCCTTCGTTCTGCTGGGGGACTTAAACGCTCTCGTGGGCAATGGCAGTGAGACCTGGAGAGGTGTGGTGGGGAGGAACGGCCCCCCGATCTGAATTCGAGCTGCGTTTTGCGATTGGACTCCTGTGCTCATCATGGATTGTCCATAATGAACACCATGTACAGGCATAAAGGTGTCCAAATGTGCTCTTGGCACCAAGATACCTTAGCCCGCAGCTTGATGATCGACTTTGTTGTCGTCTTATCTGATCTGTGGCTGCATGTCTTGGACACTCGGGTGAAGAGAGGGGTGAAGCTGCCACTACCTGGTGGTAAGTTGGCTTTGATGGGTGAGGATACTGATCAGACCTGGCAGGCCCAAACGTATTGTGAGGGTCTGCTGGGAACATCTGGCTGAGTCTCCTGTCAGAAGAAGCTTCAATTCTCACCTCTGACAGAACTTAAAAAGAATTCCTGGGGAGGTGGGGGACATTGAGCCTGAGTGGACACTGTTTCATGCCTCCATTGTAGAGGCGGCAGACCAGCAGGGTCATTGGTACCTGTTTTAGCGGCAACCCCTGAACCCGCTGGTGGACACCGGCAATTGGGGTTGCTGTCAAGCTGAAGAGTCCTACAGGGTCCTTTTGGCCAGTGGGACTCCAGAGGCAGCTGATAAATACTGGCAGTCCAAGCGTAATGTAGCTCTAGTGGTTGCAAAGGCAAAAATCTGTGTGTGAAAGAGTTTGGTGGGACCATGGCGCAAGACTTCCATACGGCTTCGAGGAGATTCTGCCCCACGATCTGGTAAGTAAGTAAGTAAAAGTTTATTTATATAGCGCCTTTCACAGATATAAATCACAAAGCGCTGTGCTGGTGCATCAGAAGGGGAAAGCGGTGCGCTACCAACACTGTTTATAGTTGGGACGGTGTGCTGCTCACTTCAACTCCTTAATCCCACCGGCACATCTTCCAGCATGTCTGGGGACTTGGGTTGGGTTCTCCAATCTCTGGTGCTGAGGTGGTCAAAACACGTCTTGGTGGCAAGGCCCCAGGGGCGGATGAGATCTGTCTGAAGTTCCTTAAGGCTCTGGATGTTGTAGGGCTGTGTTGGTTGATGCGACTGCAATAATGCGTGGAGATCTGAGGCAGTTCTTTTCTGACTGGATAAGCAGAGTAAAATGGATGCAATGGATAGCTGATTAGAGTGGGACACGTTGAGCCTAGGATATTGAGCCTTATCACAATATTTAAATTTTCTGGTGCCACCAGTTCCTCTGACCACAACCAGCACTTAACACTACACTACCAAGTGTGTTGCCCAAGGACACAACAGTAGCATTCTCTGTTGGGAACCCGGATCGATCTTACTACACTCCGATTACTAGACAACCCGCGCTGCCCCCAGTTTAACAAATCTATTAGTTTCACCATTTAAGTTCAATAACTGAAATTAACTTTTGCACCATAATCAAGTTTTTCGAGTTTCACCTGTAAGCTATCTCCTTGCATTAGGAGGACGAGGAAGAGGAGGAGGATGGTGGTGCCGAGTCAGAACTGGATGAGAGTGGGTCAGAAGCAGATGTCGTCCCTGAAGAGGAGAAACTAAGAGCCCAAAAACATGACAGTAATGAGTCAAAATCAACAGATTCTCTCAAGTATGTTGACTTGCCGGTCACGGCTCCTGCAGGAATCAAAGGGCATCAGAAGAATAAAGCCAGACCCACCGAAGAGGTACTCATGTTATGTAACCACTTAGTTTTTACCGCCATTTTGGATTGGCTTGTGAAGTGTTTTGACTCGATGGTGATGATCTTTACGGTATGTGGTCTGAAAGCAGGCATTTTGTGATTCACAGGAGCCAGAGTGGGATGTGAGCAGTGCCTTCTTTGCTAATGCTGCTAGCCATATAAAACCCAAAGGATCAAGTCGCAAGTCCAAAGAGAACAAGGAGAACGAGGCCAAGAGAGAGGTAAAATAATTTTGTAATGTCAAATGTGTAGGTGCAACAAATGGACCATGGAGACCTTTATTTCTACAATGTGTCTATACATGTGTGTAAAATGATGAAAATACTATTTTATTAACAGACAAGTGGAACTGACACCATGACCAAGAAAAGCACATCACTTACAGGTGAGGAATGATTTCTGCCGACTGTGCTATGTAACCAGCATTTAAATTGATTTTTCATTTAAACATAAAGGCTTGAAGAAGATTATTGATCCCACATTTCTCTTACAAACCTGCAGCGCAGCAGCCAGTTAAGCCTTTGGGCTGATAAAGTAATTTATGATTGTTTGTGTCCTGCAGAAAAAGGGATCAAGCTGGTGCAAGAAGGACAGTACGCACAAGCGGTTGTTTTGTTTACAGACGCCATCAAATGTGACCCAAATGATTACAGGTACTTCTCTGTTTTTGGATCAGGACTAGCAGTTTTTAAACGGCTCAACATTTCTAACTGAGAGGAATGGTCAAAGTTTTTTGGAATAAGCCATTCACAAAAAATATTCCAAGGTCCGACCCTCTTTCTTCAGGCTTCGCTCAAGAGTCTCATAATCTGATGGTTGCACCAAATGCCACAACACTGGATGCAGTGAATACCGTCAATCATAAAAACAACACTTTCTGACCTTTTTGACCGTTGTTGGCATCCCTTCTGCAATAATTCCTAACATAATGCACCCACATACCCGAATAAACATTTGGCATGCTAGCTAATATAGTTTGGTGTTTTTATGTTGGAGAAATGAGGCAGTTCTTGGCTTTCTTTGTTTAATTTTTATGATGATGATGGTGGATTAGATTTATTTAGTGCTTTCCAAAGCACTCAAAGTGCTTCCACTGACACATTCACTTACTGCCGGTGATAAGCTACTATAGATCTCCGGGCGTCACGTGACTCTCAGAGTAGACGCCATGTTGGCAGGCAACAAAGGTAAACAAAATGAACAGGATCAGCTTGGATTTTACTCCGTCGGAGTTTACTTCACACCTTAAAACCGAAGAAATCATTTTATATAGTCAGAAATTAAATAGATTAAGCATTTCCGACCCTTTCCATGCCCTTGGGATACTTTTTAAAAACGCCAGAAGCTGTTGGAGCGGACCTGGCCAGGGAACGCCTTGGGATTTTCCCGGAGGAGCTGGCCCAAGTGGCTGGGGAGAGGGAAGTCTGGGCCTCTCGACTTAGGCTACTGCCCCCGCGACCAGACTCTGGATAAGCGGATGAAAATGGATGGATGGACAAATAACATAGATTTACATGTAAGTAGGGCTGTAGCGAAGCCTCGATGACGTCGACGGCTCGATTCTAAAAATTTGTCGACGTCAGATCCGGTAGTCGACGCACCGCGCCCACTTGTTGCATCCCCAGGAGTTTGTAAATGGAGGAGGAATCTGCCTGTTTTTCCTCTAGTTCGCTCTCTTCTCCGCCTTCACTAACATCTCCGCCAAATACCGAAGACCTGGAACAACGTCCGTCCACTACTAGATTCCTTTCCTGTTTTGCCCGCCTTCGTTTTTCGGCAACGGACAACAATTTCCGGGGTCAGATGCGCTGCTCCGTCTCTATCGCAGATGCAGAAAATCACCGGGAGTGTTTCTCCCTTCATTAAGGAGCTTCTTTCAGACATTAGGAGAGCTGTTTTGGTGGTAGCAGTCTCTCCTCCATGCTGGTCTGTTTGCTGCTGGGTGTTTTTGGTTTATTTAAACTTGGTAACTTGAACTTAACGTTGGTAAAGCTACTGTTAGCATTTTCGCTAACAGCTTCTTGCGTTTGGATAAGCTGTTACGTTTTGGTTTAGAGTTGATCTTTTTTCAATCCAATCCAATTTTATTTATAAAGCGCATTCACAAGGCATTACAACCAAACAAGGCGCTGTACACTAGAAATGTTGGTTAATTAAACAAGCGATATTTAAACATGTTGAACACATATAAAAAATAATAATTTGTGGTGCAGATCTCCCTTTTATTACATTTAGAGTGTTGTGGGTTTTCAGTTTAGTTTAAAATACGGTATCACCTTGAGTTTGGTTTAACCACCCTGTTTAGAGTTTGGACTTTTGGAGATCCTTATTTTGGTCCAGAACCCAGTAATCTTTGCCCAGTGGGACATCCCTAGTTATTTGTACTTTTGTTTTAATTCCCCACAGGCAGAATTAGTTTTATTACTCCCAACCTGTGGATGGAAAGATTTGGTTTTTTGTAGTTGTAAATAAACCTGATCATCATTTTAACTTTTAAATCCCACATTATTGTCCCTTCCTTTTTGTACACGAGCCAAACTCCCCAGGAAGGGTCGTAACACCACTCGCCTCACACACATAAGTGACCAAAACAAAGCAGCATGGAGACACTCCGTCTCCAACCACCTCTCAGGCAGCAGCCTGCACTCCCAAGTTCTACACGTCACCAGAACATAACCAACCAACACAATAAAAGCAGTGTTGTACAAAATGGGAGGTCTGTGTGTTTATTCTCTTACAGTAACAATCAATTTTTTGGAGGAATTTATTAGAGATTTTTTGGTTTTTATTAACTGTGCAATAGAAAAATAATCATTAGATTAATTGTATAAATAGTCATTAGAATAGTCGACTATTCAATAAAATAATCATCAGAATAATCGTTTTAAAAATAATCGTTTACCCCCAGCCCTACATGTAAGTAGTTTAGAGTGCTGTGCTGTTTGAATGTATAAACTGAACGCCAAGAGAAATTACTCGTCTGATTTTTCTGCTTCTGCATTTTTCTGGAAACTGGAAACTGAAATACATTTAAATGGATCTTGTTAGCTGGTCTCTCAACACGATAACATTTTTTCAACGATGAGAATGGGAGAAGGGGCTCCCGGATGCCCCGCCGGGACAGACCCAGTTGGACACATCATGAACTCCCGGAAACAGTGGAACTTGATTTGTTTAACTCAGCTGTTTGTGGAGGACTCTGAAGATGTGTGGATATTCGTGGTGTTGGTGTCAGGTTTCCTGCTGATCGGCATTGGAGGCTACCTGGCTTACCGGAAAATTAACGAGCTGTCGAGGAATAGTGGCCTGATCCCGGAGCTCCGAGATGGTTTGCACCGCGCTGTGAATTCACAGACTCAAATAATTGTCGAGATGAATCGTAAGCTTTGGACTTTGGCGGAGATTCATTCTTTGGCACAAAAGATGGATGCCATCACGGAGAGCGTGGACGAATCGGCACGGATTGGGATAGATTAATGTCCATTACTCTTGGGATTCGGAGAGGTGAGGACCAGCAGACTGTAAGACAGCGAGGAATTTGTCTCTGTCTGGCCCCCAAACAATTTCTAATTGGAATCTGGAGTCCTTGAGCCTGCAAGGCTCCAACTTAAACTCCCCCCTCAGAAGATATGTGGAATGTGCTGTTGCTATGGCAACTCAATTCTGGCTCCTATCCCAGCCTGGGCGGGACAGCGGGAAGGCCGCTGAAGCGTCCAGGGTCACTGCAACCCTCCAACCCTAAATGCTCCTCCCCCTATCCACACTGAGGTGACATGCGCTGCTTCATCGTGGCTGCAGGAGCTGAAGCTGGGATAGTCCCAACCCACCACCCCACCTAGTGGACACTTATGATGTGTTGTCTGAAGTCTGTTGCATATCTCTGTCTGAGGTGTTTTTTTGCAGAGCAAAGCTGCCCTCCTGCTGGAGAGTAGCTCTGAAGTGCCTCTTTTTTTTTTCCCTTCACCTGAACCAACCCTCATGTTACCCTCTTATCTCTATTAAGGTAGCGCGACTCAGGGTTGCGAATGACCACAGTCACCAATTCTTGTCATGTGTCTTGCCCATGTATGTTTGATCTCTGAATTGTGTGTACTGAAACTCTAATTTCCCTCTGGGATTAATAAAATATCTTTGATTGGATATGAAGTGGTCGCTGCATAAGCGAAAACCTTTTCTCTCAGGATCCCACAGTTTCATTTCAGCCCGGTCACTAGCGCGTTTTATTGCAATGATCCAACGTTTGCGGCGTTCCAGAACTTGGGGAATCCTGTAGATGGCTCATTCCTTATGTCGTCCGCGTCTGTTCTGGCAACCATGTGGCACAACAGGAATCTACCATATTTCCTGTTTGAGTTTTCTGACAATAACAAATAGCCCAGCTGCGGGCTTCTGCCTGCCAAGATGGCGCCGTTTTGATTTGAACTGTTGCATGCCGGGAGAAGAGACGTCAATTCCCGGAGCTCTATTGCTCCTTTTCCACTAGCATTGACTCCACAACTCCCGGATTGCCCCAGTCGGCCCCAGCCTGGCCCGATTGATTCCACACATCCTTGCTTAGGAAAGCAGTCAGAGACGTTTTTCAGCTGCTAGGTAATCGGCATGATAAAGAAATGTGCATGCCTTAAGCCCACGTGGGCTGATTCTACCCACCAATCGGGCTTCCCCTAATGGAAGGTGTGAATTTGCTGACTGATGAGCCAGCTTATCAGTCAGCAGTGGGTGTGTTGGTCCTCGTCAGCCTGAAGCAGAAAATCTCAGGAAAAGGCCTGAAAAACAGTCTGGTTGCACCCTGAAAAAAAGCAGGCTATGCTAATGTGGACACCCTCTATGGGCGCTTACACATTAGTGTCGGCACGGCCCCAAAATATATCGAACGGCACCGGAATTTGGTTTCGCACACAGGTCAGATTTGCGTTTTCGGTGCCGAGGTGACTTTTTCTCAGACCTTCTTCCCAGCGGTCAGGCTGGGACCGAGGCGACACGCCGGACTGTTTGGCCAGCTGAAGTTATGCCTACCGCCTCCGGTCTGCGAGAAGAATGAGCCAGCGGGGGGTTTCCCGCATGCATGATTCATTTTCATGCTGGATGCTGTTGAGTAAATTTCTGTCTGTAGCACGGAGCTGCTGATCAGTGTGGGAATGGGTGAAAAGAATAGCAAATAGTTCCTGAGCGCAGCTGTGTCTGCAGCTCACTGCTTCCCCAGAGGATGGGTCAAATGCGGAGAACAAATTTCACACATCAGTGTGAATCTCAGAAAAACCCCGCGACTACTGGTAACCCGCTCCAACTCGCTCTCTTCCATTGGACAACTTGATACACATGCATGCAACCGACGGCTCTGCCAGGCGACAAGTTTTTACAGACAACGGGTCTGTCACCTAAACTTGCAAACAGAACAGAACATTCTGTATGTTACACTAGCTAGCCTGGCTTGGGCTTATTTCCTGTTTAGCTGCTCTGAGCCAAGAACGTGCGATTCATGCAGATAGAGGGGGAGACGGTTAGAGGGCAGCTTGATGGATGGATGATCCAATCATTAACTCATTTGCTGCCAGCCGTTTCCTGACTCTTTGTTTTAAGAGTCAAAGAACGTTGCGCGCTAGGATGATGTCGACGCCAAAACGAACAAAACAAAGAGGAGACTCACCTCTTACATCAGGAAGAATCCTCGCATTTTGAGCATTATCCGTTCTTTCATTATTTGTTGTCGAATTGTGATCGGCAGAAGCTTTTCCAGTTCGCGCCTCACTTTTTTTTTTTTTTTTACAGAAACTGCCCAAAACAATCTAACACAAGGATTTTTTGCTTCCTGGTCCCATGACATGTGACTTATGCGAATGAAGATCGCCTTTAGAGCTGGGATGTTTGTTCACACGGTGCGGGGGCTCGTTCTGACACCCAGGAAGTAAAAAAAAAAAAAAAATGTAAAAAAAAATGCAAATGACGACTTTAGACGTCATTGGCAATGAATATGTTAAGGAACGACACATTCACAATTATTGGATGAGTTATTTTCCAGGATTGTATCTTTTAAGGCGATTAGAGTTGTTCATTTTTCAAATAAGACATTTGATTTATTGGTCATCAGCGATATACGAATTTCAAGCAACACTACAAAAAATGCCCCAGAAACGGATAATCCACCTAATCCCTTTTCTTTTGAACCTGCAGGTTCTTTGGGAACCGTTCCTACTGCTACTACTGTTTGGAGCATTACCCTAAAGCCCTGGCAGATGCCGAATACTCCATTCAGTTGGCTCCAGAATGGCCCAAAGGACACTTCCGCAAAGGCAGCGCTCTCATGGGCATGAAGGTGGGCATGGAGTATGATCTCCTGGCGGTTACTCACCTCACTAAATGCTTCTATGTTGGTGTTGCAGCGGTACAGCGAAGCTGAGAAAGCAATGGAGCAGGTGTTGAAACTGGACAAAGACTGTGAGGAGGCTGCTAATGATCTTTTTAACTGCAAAGTTCTTCAGTTAATGGTGAAAGCATCTGCAAACCCAGTGGTATTTAGTTGTTGTGTTGGCATGCCTGTTGTAACCGTTGTCTCTCCACAGGAGCATGGCTTTGAAGAGATGCAGAGTGTTGCGTTGCTGGAGCGATTTTCGTCTGTACAGGCTGCTCTTGGATCTTGTTCTGATGCAGCTAGAGGTAAAACGCCATCTGCATGCTTTCTAAAACCAGCCAACATTTCCCGTTTCTGTAGAACAATCCATACGTCGATGCCACTCCGCTTCATTCCTGAGCATTTTAGTGATGACTTGCTTTGGTCTTTTGCAGCCGGGGGCCAGGATCCATCGATGGTTCAACCAGGGTACGTGATCGTGTGTTTGTCTGGGCAAACGTAGGGGATATTGATTTGAGCCACAAGTTGCTTCTTTTTACATCCCATACCTTATTCTGGCATATAATCTCACTTCGTTATTTTGCAGAAGCCCTTGTCCGTCTCTCTGGGTGGGAAACGTGACAACTGAGATAACGGAGAAACACTTGTGGGACCTTTTTAAAATGTATGATCCTAATCCGTTAAAAGGACTTTATAATATCATTTAGGGGTGAAGGAGTCATTTTCATACTTGCGCTGCTTTGAATCTCAGGCACGGTGAGATAGAAAGTATTCGTGTTCTGCACGAGAGATTCTGTGCCTTCGTCAACTTCAGGAATGCAAACATGGCTGCCCGTGCAATGGAGAAACTAAACGTAAGTCCTGATTAAGATTCATGCGTTAGATCTTTTCTGCTATTTTTGCTTTGTAAACACTTCATGCATTCTTGCTCCCTCAGGGTCATTGCATTGAGAACGCACGTTTGGTTGTGCGCTATCCCGACCGTCGCACTCAGAGGGTCCCTCCCATTCCTCTTAAGACCTTTCTCCCAGTTACACAGCAGGGAGGGGCGGCTGCTGGGTAAGAAGCACTAAAACAACAAGGCTGCAGCTTCTTTTCATCTAAATTTCATGTTTTTCTATCAGTTTTATTTACGTTTGAGGAGCGTCCTGTGTAGTTTTGTATGTGCAAACAAAAGACAAATCAGCTTTAAAGTTTTCTAAATGTGTTTCCGTTCCCAGACCTCGGAGGCGTGGCCCTGTGAACGGAGACGAGTGTTACTTTTGGAGAACCACTGGCTGCCACTTTGGAGACAAATGTCGCTACAAACACATTCCTGATCAGAAAGGCAAGGACAGGAAACCGTGGCAGCCTTGACCTCCTCTGTTTTGGGAAAGGGAGGTGCGCCAAATGTGCCCTTGCAGGTGGTATTAGCCAAGTCGTGATCTTAGGGCAAAAACAAACGTATTGTAGCAGAATGGGATGGAATAACTGAAAGTGCCAAAGACCTAAATAAAAAACAGCCAGAGGTAACACGGCCCTAACAGGACAGGACCACCTAATCCCACACTAAACCTCACCGGCCAGGAAAATAAAATGGAAGTGTAAAAGATTTTTTTCCCTATTGAAAGTCATCGCTAATGTCCCACAGAGCAGTAGAGTACCGATGTGATGTCCTCCTGCCATCTAAAAGCTGCGTTTCTCCCTTTATTTGAAGTGCAGTAAATGAATGGCTGGTTTTTAAGATGAATTTAATTCAGTTGGACTTGATGAGCACCCTGGAGCTGCAGCTGTTCCTGACATCCACGGCACCAGACCAAAGACTTTGCAACAGACTCGCTCGACATTTCAGTACTTCCCCTTTTGCGGTTTTAAGCTTCATAAGCAAAGTAAATGTTGACAAGGGGATCGAAACTGTAATGTGTAGCCTTAGTGAAGATATGTGACTAAGGAAATATAATTAGATCGAATTGGTCAGTTATTTACGCGGATCAGGTGCAGAATTAGCTTTATGAATTGTTGCCAGTCAGACGAGCAGATCTGGAATGTTATGAAGGACTTTGTGTCCTATTAACAATCGCAGCGCTCAGTGTTCAGCGAGTCGGTCTGAGGAGGATTGTGTGTTTTCTTTAAAGCAGTTTTCAGACTAGATGTTCTCGTTTAGTTGATCTGGATCATGTGATGAGTAGTGTGTGTGTGTGTGTGTGTGTGTGTGTCACACACAGATTTACCACACAAATAAGCAGCACCCTAGTTTAAGAGACACTCTTGAACCATTTCATAACAGTGTTTATGACCGTGACGCTTCCGTTTCAGTATTTCAGTGAGTTGATAAATAAAAAATAAAAAACACAGTTCCCTTACTCTGGACACTAAGCAGTGAGTTACAAGCCCTCTGGTGTGTTTAGATCATCCACTAGGTGACGACTTCAGCCCAGATCCACACTACATTCACTAGTTTACTATGCACTGCGCAGTGAGAGTATTTATTTTATTTATACATGTTGATTTTTAAAATAATTAACTTTCCAAACCTAATTTAACCCTTTTTTCGTTGTGATTGAGCTCTTTATGCATTTTGTGCTTTAGTTATCTGCCTTTGTCTCACTCTCAGGAGATTAGTCACACGCTGCACTTCTGCTTTTCTCTTCTGCAACTTAAACCTGTGGCAAGCACCAACTGACTTCTCGCTCCTTCACCGGTGGTGCTGTTCAGTATTTTAGATACTTTTTGGAAAGTAAATGAAAGTTTCTAGACTTATAACTTATGATTTCAAACAAATCTTTTAATTTCTGTTGTACAAACTTGGATTTTTAATGTTTGCTTTTAGGCTATTTTACGCTTTCAAACTATTTCACTGAATATTTTTTTCCAAATTCAAAAAACATTTATAACAAACTGTAATTCTGTTAATAAATGTTAGTATTTTTTGTATTACTGTTTTGCAAATAAGAGTTTTATATTTAATAAACATATTTGACCCGTATTTGTCAGAGTTTCTGTTGCTCCTCATCGTCTCCACAAGGTGGCAGAGTTGAATTTGAAAGGTTTGCACTGAAATGCCATCAATTAAACCATCTCACCACATGCTTCACACATCCATTCATCATTTTTAATCACGAGGAACCAAGATGTTGAAGCTCGAATCCTGGTTATCACCATAGCGGGCTGCTCTGGTGTGTGGGGCATGGTAACCCTCTCATCACTACTGGGAGACACTTGTGTGGCCAGTGTGAAGCATGCATCAGGAAATATGCAACCACTTAGACCAAAAGAAGATGGAAGCAGCTCTAAGAATGCGTGGGGAAAAGCAGCCCAAATACCACAGATGACATTTAAATACAGGAACCCAGGCTCGATGCCAGCTGATGCATGTGTAGTCTCTGCATGTGTGAGACTGTCGTTGCAAAATTAAAAGGAGGCACACCACAAAATAAAGCATTCACATCAACTTCAATTAACTCTTAAAATGTTCACAAGTCAACCTGCACACTGCAAAACTTTCTAAGGAAGTAAAAAAAAATACGCTTAATTTTAGACATTTTCTTATTTTTTGTCTAAAAAGGAAACAAATTCTCTAAAGGTTACCTAAGATAAGATAAATGTTCTTAAATATGATCCTAAAACTAACAAATTAATAAAAATTTAGATTGAATAGCTAGTTTTAAGAATTCTAGCCAAGCAACGTTTTTCTTTGGTAGAAAAAAAAATCATATTTAAGAATACTTAAAATTTTAAGTAGTGCTATTTTTTTCTAGAGAATAATTTTTGTTTTTAAGCTAAAAAAATGTCTAAAGAAAATTAGGATTTTTTTTTTTACTTTAAGAAAGAAAATTATCTTTTATATAGTGCTTTTCGAGATAAGACCAGGTGCTTCACAAAAACAAAAAATTAATATAAAAGATTTAAAAAAAGTAGAAAAAAGTGATTACATTTGTAGAAAGCCAGACACAACTTAAGTGCAGAATATGTATTAAGAATATTAATAAAGATGCGTATGTCCTCATGACACAGCAGAACACATGAAACTGACGCCCGGCATTTCTTCCATCAGAGCTTAACTTTTCAAACTTTCCTTTTTCTTTTTTTCCTTACAAGTCATACTCGTTTCAGTGCGCACTTATATACTTAGAGTAACAAATTAGAGAGGAGCATTCCTGCAGATGATTTACTGCAGAAAAAAAATCGTTGGTGAAAGTCCTCCTTCCTGCAGTATTCCTACAGGCCAGTAGAGGGCGCCTGATTTTACTACAAGAAAGCAAAATCTAACTTTTTCATTCTAAGGAACAGAGTATTAATCTATTTGGTAAATTATTATCTAAGGAAAATAATCTATTTAAATAATGATAAGGTGTATGTTGAAGCTGTGCTTCAGAAAAAAATGTTAAATTAATGCAAAACGTATTTTACTGTAGTTTTCATTTAAAATTCACAATCCACTAAACTTTTGGAACTTCAAGGTAAAACTACTCAATATTTCTTATTATTCTCCCAAAATTACTTTTATGCATTAATAAAAATTACTGAAAGTGTTCTAAAACTAGCCAAAAAGCTGAGATCTGCATGGGTTTGAATGCTGGCACATGAAGGAGGATGTCCACAGCTCTGATAAGAAGTCCTGGGTATCTCCTGGAGTTTCTGAAATCAGGATGTCAGGAATAGATAGGAACTCCCGTGAAATGTGGTGCTTTTGGGATCAGGCTTGCCTCCCACAGATGACATCAGACCCTACCAAGATCAGTAACTGGGGGGTTTTGGGGCCCAGAACAATACTTAAGACTCTTTGATGTGCTATTTGAGCCCTTTCTACACAGCTTTTGCTGTAGATGTTCCTCTGAGGCGGGTGAATCCTGTTGCCATATGGGGATGATTATTTCTTTGACAAGAAGAAAGTGTTTGCTAAGTGTTACATTGATGTGAATGCATGAGGATTTTAAGTCAAGTACAGAAATCTTTTTCCTGAATCTTGGTAACTGTACCTAAAAGTCCTACAAAAGTCTCTGTTAAGGAGGGCTTTCAACAACATTCATAAAAATAATTTAAAAATATCTCCAAGGTACTTATTTTAAAACCACTCAAAGCCAAAGATAATCAGCTGTACATTTTTCAAGTTTTTATTGCAAGTTTCTGTGAAGGATTGCAGATAGTTTTGAAAACAGTTTTCTTAAAGTCACCAGTGAACTTTAGAATCGCTTCAAAGCCCTCTGTGATGATTTTCCCAACTGAATCTAAAAGCACTGACAATGTAAAAGTAACAATGTGTAGTTTTGACTGCTAATCTCTGGAAATAATCATCAAAATGTTGTTGAAAATTAATGAAAAAATGCCCTGTTGTTGGAAAAATTGGGTCTAAAATACACTAGTGTGGGTCTAAGGCCCTGTCCACACGTAGCCGGGGATCTGCCAAAACGTAGATATTTTTCTACGTTTTGGCCTGTCATCCACACGAAAACAGAGTTCTTTCACACGAAAACGGATCTTTTTAAAAACTCCGGCCAAAGTGAAGATCTGCGTTTTCTCCGTTTTGGGTGTCTGCGTGTGGACAGACAAAACCGGAGTTTTAAGGTCCGCAACGTCACTTTCCGCGACAGAAAAATGCTGACATCACGTGTGCGACCTGTGTTTACACTAGCCGACAGCATGGATGCCCTCAGAGCTGCGCTCGCTTTATCAATTGTCCAAGAACTTTTTGCTTGTTTGTTTTGCAAGCGGAATTACTGCTCCTTGCGGAAGACCACAGACGAAGGACGAGGTTAAGAACGGGGGAAGTACTGCCGCCTACAGGTCTGGCATGTCCTTAACAACGTATTTATCCGGGTACGTGTGGACAGTTTATTTTTTTTAAGCGAGGTGGTGTGGATGCAAGTTTTTGGAGGGGCGGATATTCGTTTTTTAAAAAACCCGGCTACATGTGGACTAGGCCTAGGTCTCTGGGCGACACCATATTAGACACAGTGATTCCTTCTACATAAGCCCATGAAGAAAAAATACATTTACTGATTTCTAACAAGCAGTTACAAAACCTTCGCTTGTTGCCAGTGATGAAGTGTGTTTGATGTGCTTGTCATTTTGCCAGGGTCGAGCAATCTCACAAAGTACTCCTTCAAAAATGGCGCTACCAGGGATTTTTGACCCTAATGGTCATCCGCTGGTAAGGTCTCACTTGAACAAAACAATACCGCTTGCTTGCAAGGATTTAGGTATGTACTGCCCCTATGGTCAGAGAAAATACACACGTCACTTAGAAAAATAACTAGGGGTGGGACTCGATAAAAAAAAATCTAATTAATTAGAGGCTTTGTAATTAATTAATCTTGATTAATCACATTTTAATGGTTCAAGACAATTTGCTTTCAAGCAATTTTTTAAATGAATAACATATTAGTGAAGCACAGATGGCATACCCACATTATGGCAAATGAGTATATTTCTGTAACCACAAGGTCTGTTTGATTACTTTGGTCTCATTATAGGTAGCTCATAAAGGTAACCATTGTAGGATGTGTTGGGATGTGTAAATATAAAAATGAATGTGCCTCGTCCGTGAGAGCGGGGGTGGGGGTGTTTCGCTACCGTGCCTCGCTAACATGCGTTGTCCATGACAGGAGGGGTGGGCGTTTGGCCTGATGGCTGTGTCTGCTGTGATAAACTTCATATGGATAACATACGGGGCAGGGTTGTCTAGTAATCGAAAGGCTGCAGGTTCAATCCCAGCTCTGGACAGAGAATTCTACTGTTGTGCCCTTGGGCAAGACACCTACCCCAACCTGCCCGCTGGTGGCGGTCCAAGAGACTGGTGGTGCCCACGCTCGGCAGCCTCGCTCTCGTCATCACCATTAGCGTGTGAATGTGTGTATGAATGGATGAATGATACACTGTAGTGTAAAGCACTTTGGAGTCCTCCGACTCTGAAAGGCGCGATACAAGTGCGGGTCATCTATCATTTATCCTAATATCAGTGCCTGCCAGCATCTTTGCTATATCCTGGTACAATGCATCTCTCCTTTTCGGTTAATTTGAACTTGTGCACTGTCTCCATTTACATAAACTTCTACTACTACCAACTAGAAAACATAATATTAAAAAAACAATTTTTTTCTTCATGATTAATTTAATTATTGTTTTAGCTGGTAAAAATGGTTTACATGTTCTTAGCCCAGGCTTTGCAGTCTTGTTAGAGGTGCAGCTCGATGATATTTATTGATACACAGGGCATTTATTTCTAATGAATTGATTGTAATTAATGGCTTAAATTCCCACCCCAGAAATAATATTTTAAAAAGTATTTATGGAAGCAGCAACTGGTAAGGCCTCTATGTGATGTTCTGACCCGTTTTTGCTGTGGTGAATTAAAAAAACCCCAAGATGTTAAAACCACCCATCAATTATGTGAACCACGGGTTGCGGGGAGCTGGTGTCTAGAGGTCATCAAGCCAGAGGCGGGGAACACCCTGGACAGGTTGCCAGTTAATCACAAGGACCCACAGGGACAAACATTTACGCACACATTCACACCTAAGGGACATGTTTGTACCCTGTTAGCCTAACATGCACGTTTTTGGTCTGTGGGGAAGAAGAATCGGAACGTTTGGTGCCATTTTAGCAATGAGACATTGTACAACAAAATTAAGGTGCAAGAAGCCGGTGTACCCGGAAAAAACCTATGCTTGTATGGGGAGAACATGGAAACTCTGTGCAGAAGGGCAAAGGTGGGTGAGCCCATGTAAGCTAATCTGACAGTGTGATGAAGATCTGTGTGACGTTTTCTAAGCCGTGTGTTTCCCAGACTATTTTCTTACAGTGACTAAGGCAGGAAATAGGGGTGGAAGATCATTTTTATGATCAGCGCGTCTATGCTTCTCAGAGTGACCATATTTCCAAAAGAACAACTATTATGCAGTTGTAGCGTCCAGAAATGGTCAGTTTTTCATCTGCAGTTTGACCTCTTCAGTATTCGGTCATAAGGAGACATGAGTCTACATGTGT